TCGCCCCATTCCTGCTCTCCGTCGTGGTCCTCTGGACCGTCGCCCTCTCAATACGACGGGGAGCAACGTTTGCCCCAGTCGACGACGATGACCGCTACTCTGCCTCCGCCAAAGTAGAGGCCTCGACACCCGCCTCCAACTACCAGAGTAACTATGGGAGCGGCAGGTCACAACAGCAGGAGACCCTCCAGCCCCCAATGAGCCAGGCCGCCTTCCAGGCCCACTGGCTCGAAAACGACCTCGGTGGCCCGTTCGACGGCTCCCGCATCTTCGAGCTCTGCAACAGAACGACGTGGCGCGACGACATCGTCCTCCACATGCGCCACTCCCGCGGCGGGCTCGGCAACGTCCGCGGCACGATCCTCGACTTCCTCTACGAAGCCATGCTCTTCGGCGCCCACATCGTGATGCCCTCCTACGTCAAGCGCACCGACGCCAACCTCGACTGGATGGACGAGAGCAACGGCTACCACGACTACGACAACCTCTTCGACAAGGCGTGGTTCCTGCGCCAGATGGGAGAGCACTGCCCGCAAATGAAGATCTACCCGACGCCCGAGGACGCGCCTGTGAAGGCCACGCTGAAAGGGGAGTACACCATTCCCGGGGCGCGGTCGGACAAGAGCCCCGAAAAGACGGAGGATGGCGTCAGGGCTAGTCTGGATGCGTGGCTCAAGTCGCAGGAGGACTACGTCGAGAACACGCCGTCGCTGGTGCCCATCACCGCGGGGTTCCTCGGCTTTGACTTTTATGCGAAGCCAGGGTTGCGCACCGCGCTCGGCAGGCTGGTGCGGGTAACTCCCTCCGTCCGGGAGCTCGCGGCGGAGGCGTTGTGGACGATGCGCGAGCGGTTCGACCTCGCGGCGACGCTTGACCCGCGGGAGCAGATCCACCGCGGGGCGTACTGCGGCGTGCACCTCCGGACGGAGGACGACGCGGCACGGAGCGGGTGGCTCAAGGCTGAGGCCGGCTTCGACGGGCAGACGGACTGGCACATCGCGACGTGCGGAGGGCTCGGGCTGCGCGTGATCTACGTCGCGACGGGCGAGAAGAAGGACATTGAGCGGTTCGCGGTCAAGGCCAAGGAGCAGGCTGGGATCATCGTCGTCGGCAAGAATGACCTGCTGGACGAGCCCGCGCTTGCGACCGCGCTGGGAAACATGTCGTGGGACCAGCAGGGCACGCTGGACTATGAGGTTCTCTCGCGTTCGAGCTACTTCAGCGGGCCGAGCATGAGCAGTTTCAGCTGGAGCGTGGCCATCAGGAGGCACTTCAACAGCGAGGGCGATGGGTCGGCCAAGTGGATGAATCCGTATGCGATCAATGAGGACGAGCCGCGGGTGACGTATGACGATGGGCTCAGCCGGATCATCCTCAAGGCGGCGCGTGTGGACTTTTTGGAGGCGAATGCGCCAAGGGGGATGTTCCCATAGACTTAGTAGTCTCAGTTGATGATTGATAGCGATTCAGCTTTTGCCAAAGTAATTCAACAAAGTATTCCCCTGTGCCGGCTTGTCTCTCGCTTTCTTTGGTGACTCCCGTTCGACCTTCTTCCCAACCTCCATCACGGCCATCAACTCCTCGAACTCGGCCTTGGGCACGATGCCTCCGCTAGCTTCCTTATGTCCCCTCGCAAATGAGTGCCCCAATCTCTCCCGCAGGGTTGCGTCTTCCGACTTGGCAGCAACCTCGTTCAATACCTCAATGATGTTGACCGGCGGCTCTTTCGCCCTCGCACACCGCGGTATACGGCACGAGAAGTTGACCAAGTCGGGGAGGTAGCCCTTGTTCGCAACCAGCACAACCTCCAGCCTGGCCGAAGACAGGTGGCCCGCCCAGCGCGTCGCAATGACCGGGTGAACCTGCGCCTGGGAGCTGATGCGGAAGACGGCCACCCGTCCGTCGGAGGAGAACTTCGGAGGCGTATGGGTGCAGCGTTCCACCTCTGCGTTCACGTCTGCCCTCGCTGCGAGGAGAGTCTTGTTAGAGAGGAGGTCTTTGGGGGAGTTGGCGGCGAGGAGAGCGTCCCATGCGCCTGGGACATCGTAAGATGCCGTCCTGCGCGGCGCGTTGATGAGGCTGACGGCATCGTTGATGGCCTTCTTGGTGTACGCCTTGAAAGTGAGCTTCATGTCCGGGAAGGGCGGCTCCCACTTCAAGGTATTGCCAAGGTCCCCGTGCGTGCCCATCGCGCACAGCCAGTCGCAAGCTTCTTGTACGCCATCGTGTAGTTCCCGGCAGATGATGTAGGTGAGGAGTGAGCTGGTTGCTACCGGGGGCGAGTTGCACGCTGTGACGTGGAGCGAGTCCTTTGGGTGGTCGTCTTCCAGGGCGTGGTGATGGTCTATCACAATCCCACGATGGGGCGCGTCGATAAGAGGTGGGCCGGGGCGGGAGCCTTGGTCCAGGACAAAGATGTAGGCTGGGTTATGTGATGACATTGCCTCGCGACAGGAGGCATCATGGATGTTGGTGCCCTTGGGGGGATGGTAGGATGAGATGAGAGAGGGATCAAGGCCGAGGAGGACAAGAGTGCGGTGTAGGATTACGCCGGATGTGAGGCCGTCTGCGTCTTTATCGGGGATTATGAGCGTAGGTTTGCCGGCGGCGACGCTGGATGAGTTAGAGACGAACGCAAGGTAGTGAGTGCCAAGGTGAGTCAGGGCTCACCATTCACGAATGAAACTCCTCGCCGCCTCCATCTTGTCCTCCGGCGCCGGCCAAACGATACTTCCATCCTCATTTCTCACTGAAGGTGTAAGATGATACTCGGGAACCGCTGGCCGGGGCTTCTTGGTGCTCTTTGCCCCCGACGTGAGACTTGCTGCTGTGGCGGTCCGCTTCATGGCGAAGTATCGGGTTGAATGTTGGGCAGGTAGTATGGCGAGCCGTCGTGTGCCCCCCTGGCAATTGAATAACGGCAGAATCGACGTTATTCTGCGTGTAATTGATGGCATGGCTGAGGACTCGATGAGATGAGGTCGGCCCTCAACGTGTCGAGTGAGAGGGAAACCCTGTGCCGGGATGTCGTCATAGAAAAAGCGCACCGTGCCTGGGCCGCCACAGCGCTGAACCAGCGGCATGTGGGGCGTTTTGTGTCTAAGGTACCCCGAGCAAGGTGTTGAAGTTGATGAGAGACACTGGACGGAATACAACTACGACTCGTCTATTGAATCTACGAATAATATCTATCTTCTTTGGATGCAACGAGATTTCTCGACAACTTCATCAAACAACATTCTAATGCACAGAACGCCGGCTCAAGTGGACTGGAACCCCAATTACTTCTTCTCTGCAGTTCCCGTGGCCCTATCGATGCCTTTGTGGACGGGATCGTCCACTGCACAATCGACAGCTTTGTTGACGACTGCAACCACAGCTCCGAGGGCCACCACGTCCTCCATTGAATGCCCCTCCTCCCAGTTCCATGCTTCTGTGTGCCCATTCAAGTCGCCTTCTGCTGCCTCCAACATCTTTTTCATCGCCTCTTGTGGCTCGTCAACGAAGTTAGTCGTTGTTTCAACGACCGAATGCTCTAGCCATGTATTGTGCTCGTCGCCGGTATCCAGAAACATCTTCTTGTAGTCCACATCGTCAACGTGACCCGCAATGCTTTGCATGGCAGCGTCAAAGTCGTGACCCAGAGTCACTGACAATACGGCGGTCTTGATGGCGGCACCAGTAGCGATTTGAGCAGCGGCATTTCGCTTCGAAATTGTCCTCACCAGAGCTCTCCTGCCACCAGCTCTGTCGACAAGCGACCTGAGACGCTTGACTTGGTACCCGGTTTCGGCAGTGTTGATAGCCCAAGTGATGCCCATGTACGGAAGACCAATCAGGAGAAGCCCGGAGACGAAAGATCCCTCCAGGGACGAAGTGAGACGCCTGAGAGTACTTTCGACCTCATGTTGGAATTGCATGTGCTTTTCAGGTGACATGCCGAGGGCCAGCGCTTGCTCATTTGCTCTCTTCTCGCGGGTTTCCTCCATCGCTTTCGAGCTGCGCTTGGAGATGGCTTTGGCGGCATGGTAGGTCGTCCCGATGACTGCAGCAGTAGATGCACCGAGACAGGTGAGAAGAGAAATGCCTGTGGGGTCGATGAATGCGGTGCCAAATGAGGCGGCGGCAACGGCACTGGCTGATGCCGTTTTGCTTCCTCTGGGATGTCCCATGACGATGGAATGGCTTCTGATAAGAGGGCGTAGAATGTAGGTCAGAATTGAATGTTTGCGGGATCAGGTCGATACAAGTTGTAGATAATATCTTTGTGGTAGTTTCTGGATTGCGACTTATTCCATCTCTATGGGGAGGCTATGGAACGCGATTTATATCTTCGTTGCTTATTTCTTAACGTTCCCATTTCAGTAATCATGTACCAAATTGGAACACTTTGTCGGCCACACCCTCTTTATCCGTTCAACTATGCAAACCATAAAGCCATCAGCCTTGACCAGCCTCAAGGAGACTTGCAGTAAAGCCTGCCCATTAATTATTCAGCCTGTACTCGAAGACGTCTCTTCTCATTCCTGTACCTACAATCTCGGCTGTGTGACTGCGTCTGCCATCAGCCGCGGGCTATTTCTGTTGGATGTGTCTGAGAATTGCAGCATCTATGAGGATGGCTTGAATTCCACCAATCATTGCTCGTGCCCAGTAGCCAGTTGCTATCCTTAGAAACAGTCATAGGCAGTGTAACGTGAGGCAGGCTGCCCGTCTGAGTGGTTTGAGGGGCTGCTTCAGCCTGATTCTGACCAACAGGTAAAAACTCCGTTGGGGTTTTGGAGCCTGCTACTCTGAAGTACTGATGATTTGTAAGACGCTTTCTAAACGGTAGGTCGCCGGCTTAATTATCTGAGCATACGTCTTGCAAAGTGTCAACTGTTCGTAAATCTTCAAGCAGCCAAAAACTGGAAACTTGCTCACATCTGACCAGACACCGTCGTAAAGAAAACCCAAAGCGCAACGTCTCTTATTCGTAGTGAAACTTAATCATTCCCTCTCTATCGATCTTTAATGACATTCTGAGAGTTGGCCTGTATCCTAGTATCCCCCTCGTCATTATCGCCATTACACGTCTTTCGTGCTTTTGCGTGTAAGTCAGCGCCGGCCTCTAACAACATCAAGACGGCACTCTCAAAGTCCTTCTCAACGGCAATGTGTAACGCCGTCCACCCAAGCTCATCATACGCATCTAAGCTATGCTCCCAGTTTCTCTGTGTATAGTGCTCGAGGAGTAGTCTCAACACCGCTTCGTGACTTCCTAAAACAGCCCAATGTAAGGCTGAGCGTTTTCGTCGGTCAAGGTCGCTGATGCGAGCCCCCGCCTGAAGCAATATTCTAGCAACTGCTTCATGGCCCTCTATGGATGCGTGGATTAGTGCAGTTCGACCGTCACTGTCCTTTTCGTTGCAGTCGACGTCGCGCTCCATGAGTCTCCTAACTATTCGCTCATGACCTCGACGTGCCGCAATGTGTAAAGTTCCAAGCCACCCACGATCAGAAACAGGGGTTTGATTATCTCCGGATGATGGAGATGCACCGGCTAGTGCACCGCCGTTAGTACTGGGCGAGGATCCGGAAGAGGAAGAGGGATTATTGCTGCGTGGGGTGGGACTGCCATCGGAGCTTGATCTACCAGTCGGGTCCGATGAATCTTGCTTAGATCTCGCGGTGGTAGCTTCCGGCTGTTCAAGCGCTCTGGGCACTCTGGCCGTGGTGTGTTGGGCTGGATGCAGCTGCCCTGGACTACCACAGAATCCGCTCGAGGCAAGCCCAAGCAAATAATCCACATCAGCCTGGCTTGTCCGCGATGTGTTTGATGTGTCGAAGCCCAACGAATGTCCAAATTGGGTGCGATAACTAGATAGCGAACTGCTGCCGCTGGGAAGATGGGTCTCGATCAAAGCGAAATCACCTAGTCCCGGGCTGTCACTACCAGCGGAGGATCCTGCGTTCTGAATGAAGGGTGCACTCCGCGTCTGGCCCAGCGATGCTGTTGTATGGTAGAAAGCTTGAGTTGTAGTTGCTGGAGGAGAAATATGTGGTTCATGTTGGAAAACCAGCTGTGATCCTGATAATGGGATGCCGACGCTATCGTTATCCAAGGCGTCATGAAGTGGCGGAGTTGTATCTGCCGCGTGTTGGTTGGAAGCCTCTGCGCGAGCTTCTAAAGTTACGGTCAGAAGATAAGATATGAAAGTGATTTCTCCCGTCGAACAAGCTCTCCGCTATTGGCCCTCACTTACGACGAAATTTGCGTTGTGCCATGCGGTTTTGCAGCCTGCGACGATTTGTCCGATCGCTTGCCAAATCGATGTGAAGTTCCATCTTGAGGTGCACTGCACGGTTTGGGCGAGATCTCGTGCCAGAAGGTTGAGCTGACATATCCGTGGATCAAGATTTGGACGACACCTCCCTTAAGAAGCAACACCCTCGTAAACCTTCAATTTAAACGAGCGGCAAGATAGGCCGGTGACAGGGTCCTGTAACCCGGTCCAATGAGCCGCGGTAGACAGCCAATCCGCCAGCTGAGATAGTGCTGACTTGAGTAAGGCTTCGATATCCACACTGGCTGCTTCAGTCAAGCGGCTGGGGTTCCATCCAATCATTTGAGTAGTATCAGCTGATAATCTTGCGCCATAAGACCCTGTGGGCGCGCCATTGAACAATGCTGGGTACTCTCCAGTTGAAACAGAGGCCCTTGCTAGCACTGGCGATTGAGTCCTGGATGCACATTGGGATTTCTTTGGCTGCACATGACGGTGATAAGTGCAACCTAAGAGGCATGGGAATAGACATATATCCGTTTAAAGCTACCATTCAATTCGTTGCAAAGTAGAACTACAGTAGATTAAGTGCGACAATAATGATGATCCAATGACCATATCGACGACGATAGCAACGACAGAAAGACCACAAGATTAATAATGAATCATGTTAGAACAAAAGACTTCAGGTAATAGTCTGCTCGACGAGCTAGAAATATACGCCCAGGTAGACAAACTCGCGACGAGACTCTAATAGCAGTCATCGACCAGACACCGTGAACGAGATTTAAAACATGGCACCATGCAACGCGCTACTAATTACTACTTAAAAGCACAACGCTGATAATCAAGAACTGACCACAGAGGCTTGTGTCAGCTTTGCCACCAACTTGTCACCCAATGCGTTCAGGGAGCTTGCGTTGGTGATGTCAAGCGTTGTTAGCTCAGCACCCAGCTCCAGACGAATCCAGTTTCGCAACTCAACTGCCGCAAGCGAGTCCAAGCCAAACGTCATCAGAGGCTTAGCAGGCTCAATCTCGGTCTCCAAGCGGAGGATCTTGGCCAGTTGCGATGCAACCACCTCAACACCAACCTTGACCAGAGCCGTCCGGTCAGCACCTGACTTGTGCAATGCATGGAACGCGCGAATTGTCTCATCTCCTTGCTTTCCTGAACTTCCGTCCTTGCCATCCGACCCTGTGCCGGTGTTCTGGAAAAGGTACCCAAAGCGGGGATCGCGAGTGAGATCGGAGTCCTCTGGCAACGGGAAGCCGATACCAGTGACGAGTTGCGCGGCGCTTTCAGCATTGATAGGCGCTGACGCATTGTCTTGCTGAAGGATAGAGTAGCTGAGAATTTTGCGAAGAGTTCCCTCAGTAATAGGCGTCCACTGGCGAGTGTCGAAGCGAGCCTCGAAGCCTTCTTGCTCAGCGACGTAGCCAACATCTTGAATGAGGCCGAGGTCGACCGAGTTAGCTTGAAGGCCAAGAGCGCGCCTATAGTCGGCAAAAGCATCGAGGAATGTGTTTCCCGCTGAGTAGTTGGCTTGTCCCTTGTTGCCAACAATGCCTGATATACTTGACAGCAGGGTGAAGAAGTCAAGCGGATACTGAAGTTCTTCCGAAGCGCGATGTAAGTTCCACGTGCCGTGGAACTTGGCGTGAATGGCAGTGTGGTAGTCGTCGAGAGTCATCGTCTCGTAAGGCTTGTCCTGAATATCTGTCAGTACTACTCCAATGACGTAGCGATAGGTGCTCCTTACTCTTAGAACCATGGCACCTTGAATCAATCCGGCCACCCGTGGCACAGACTTGAAGACGTCTCGGACGAACTCAAGGTTCGCAACGTCACCTTTAGCCTCCAGCACCTCGCAGCCGTAGGCGGCGCAGTTTTTAATTGCCTTTTGCGAAGCTACGTCCTCGATGCCACTACGGCTCACAGAAATGATGTGCTTGGCTCCGTGTCGTGCCAAGTGAATGGCGAGAGATCCACACAGACCTTTCAAGCCACCAACAATGACATATGAAGCATCCGATCGAAGTTTGAGCCTCCGTATCGCTGGCCTGATGGGGACTTGGACGTCCTTCTTGCTTCCGTCAGAAATGACCACCTTGCCAATGTGACGGCCGCTGCGAATGTAGGCCAAAGCCGCTGGAACTGCATCAAAGCCAAAGGTCGTGATGGGATGAATTGGCTTGATGTGTCCGCTGTTGACGAGGGCGAAAATCTCATCCAAAAGCCTGCGTGATGTGTCAGTACTTCTTCGTCTGTACTGCAAAGAACAAGGGTTCTTCGCAAATTACGAACCTTGCAATCAAAGGGTCCCGGATGTCCTGAGTGTAGGAGAAATCCATGGCTCTGAATGAAGCGTTGCGATCGAAAGGCTCCATAGACAAGGTGTTGCGGTCGACAATGTCCTTCTTTCCAATCTCAACTAAGGTTCCACCGTCGGCAATGATTCTCCATGAAGCGTCGAGAAGTTCGCCGGTAAGAGAGTTGATGATGACATCAATGCCGCGACCGTTTGTTGCAGCCAAGATATCTTTTGCGAATGTCGTGTTGCGAGAAGAGAACATGCGACTTCGTGGGATGCCGTAGTTCTCCTCAAGAAACTGGCGCTTTTCCTCCGTACCGACGGTGACATAGATCTGACACATGCATTAGCAATCTCAAGAGTTGAGATGATAAAGGCCACGGCTCTGAGAACTCACTTCTGCGTTCTTGTACTGAGCAAGCTGGATGCACGCAATTCCAACTCCACCAGATGCCGAGTGAATGAGAACGGACTGTGACTGTCAGTTTGATTCTTCGACGAAACAGAAGGAGGTCTCACCTGGCCTTCCTTCAAGTTGGCAATATCGAACAGCGAGTAAATCGAACACAGGTAGACGGAAGGAATGGTCGCCGCATCCTAGGCTAGAGTTAGCACAGTGTCATCTACGTCTGACTGCTCACGTACCTCGAAGCTCATCCAGTCAGGGATGACATGAGCGCGCCCGATGGGAACCTGCAGGCGATTCGCATAGCTACCACCGTTCAAGAAACAGACGCGATCGCCCTCCTGGAACTTGGTAACCCCCGGGCCGAGCCTCTTGACGATACCTGCTGCTTCATACCCAATGGTGTACTCATTCTCAGGCACAATCCCCATGGCAACAGCGACGTCCTTAAAGTTGACACCAACAGCAAAGACCTCAACCTCGATTGTGCTTTCTTCAACAGGAACCTCAGAAACATCTATCTCGTTCCATGTGAGGCTCTGGAAGGTTCCGACACGCTCCGACCTAAGCTGAACAGCGGCCTTAGTTTCGTGCAGTCTTCCCAAGACAGGCTCGGATCCCTCCTGCTCAGCCCGCTTGAACTCGTTGACTCTCAGATCTGGCACGACTCTATGCACGTATAGAACGCCATTTCGCTCAGCGAACTCCGTCTCGACAGTTCCTTTGACACCCGACGTGCCACTATGGCGTGTAGTCTCCAGGACGGACTTGATGGCCCACGCGGTGTGGGGTCCAACACTTGACTCGACATCCAAAACGGTGATCTTGACACTGGCATCCTCCCTTCGGACGACGCGGAAAAGGCCATGAGCGAGGGCGAGGTCTGGGTCAGCGACCTTGAGCTGCGCCCCTTTTGTGACCCAAAGAAGAGGGCGTCCTGAACTGACGAGAGTCTTCAACGCAGACCATTGTTCTCCATCAATATCGGCGAGAACAGGGTTGTGTAGCTCATCAAGAATGAGAACGGTCGAGTCAGCCGAGAGACTATGAATTGCAGATAAGTCTGATCGCTGCGTGATACTCCATCCAGATGTCTCCAGCTGTTCTTTCAATGATGGTTCGAGGTCTGCGGCACCCCGAGAAAGCCGGACGATATCCAAGTTGCGAGGGGAATGTTGCTCCTTGCTGGTCGGCGCGAAACTGTACAGCGTCCAAGTAGACCCTTGGAGCTTGACGCTAAAATCAGGGAGTTCTGAACGTAAATTCGCATCGAGAAGGCTCTTGAGAGCTGTGTCCACCAAAATATCTGACGATTGACCTTTCTCTTTAAGTTCGACTGCCTCTTCAGGCGTGGTGGAAACGTCTGTGAAAGGGGTCTCTGGTGGCAGATCAGATCCGGCTGACTCCGAGGGCGTGCTGGGACCCGCTGGCACATCGGACTCCGGTGAGGTAGATCTAAGGGATGGCACAGGCGCAGCTTCATCTGGCTCTGGTTGCCTGGGCTGAATGATGAGATTGTGCGAAGAACTCGAGAGATGATTCTTGAGCCGTTGCAAGAACTGGTCCAAGCTCGAAGACGACTTGTCCGCGACCTTAACGATGACGAGATCGTAGATAGCGTCGCTTGGCAGGCCGAGATCTCCGCTCTCGAGGTTGATGAGGCTGAAAGAAGCATTTCTGTTCCCTTCATTCTGGGTCTGAATTCCGACCAGAAGCTTCGCATTCGTTGAAACATAGTCATATCGGGTGTAAGCCGCTCTCGATGACCAATCGTTGTCTTGAAACCATGTAGAAGACCCATCATTGGCGTCAAAGTCCGCTTCTAGAATTCGCAATCTTGGTTGCTTGTGGGCAATCAAGTCGATGATAGAACCAGCAGTAAACTCGGACCCGTGCTGAACCAAATTCTCCTGAGAGAAGAATGTGATATCAGGCCTCCAGCTGATTCGGTCGAAAGTATGAGGGTCTGGCTTGGGAACCACATCAAGCTTAGCAAAACGAAGCCCGCGCATCTGCATAAGGAGTGCGCCGGTGGTAGGATCGTGGATCGAGCAGTTAGCAAAGTAGCTCTTGGCCTCTTCCAGCCTCCCGCGACCGGAGTACTCTGAACTCGCGATGGACAACCCTTCTGATAGCCTCTTGTCGACTTGGTTGATGACTAAATCATCTATAACCGAAGGAACCAACACCGCGTTCAAAGAACTGTGCTCCCCTGCCCAGAGAGAGGGCGTAACGGTTTGGAAGCATCCGTCAAGGGATGCTGGATGGATTGGGTAGTAAGACTGGGGAGACCACTTTGATTTGGGCTCGTCGAGGGAAACCAAGCTGCGGCTGCGTCGCTGACCACTGATGGATTCGATGTTCTTGACCTTCTGAAAGTCGGGACCAAATCCGTATCCGATGGCGGTCTGAGCCTTGTACCAGATTTTGGCGGTAGTGGGAAACTCCAGGGGGCGACGGTCGGCCTCTGCCAGGCGCTCGAGAATGGGCTCTTGTACACGGATCAATCCGGAGCAATGCTCGATGGAAACCCCCGCCGTATGGGTGGCAATGTGGAACTCATGCCAATCCTTGCTCCCGGGCTGCTGAGTGAGGGATAGTGTGATGGCCGCCTCTACTCCCTCTTCGAGCACCAACGCCTTGTCAAACCGAACGTTTCTGAGCCTGTAGGACAAATCGTTCGGGGACGTAATAGCGACTTCATCTAGTGCTGTGGCTCTTGTCTTCTGGTAGAGTGCTTCGACCGCCATCGTGATGAAGCCGGAACCCGGGAGGAGGATATCGTCTCCCATCTTGTGGTCCTTTAACCACGGAACGTCCGCAATATCCAAAAGCTTGCGCCAAGTTGGCGAACGCCATGTCGTTCCAAGTACCTTGCTTCCCAGAAGATCGTGATTGACATACTGTTTGAAACGCCAGTCCTTGCTTGCCGCATTCTCATGCCAGTACTTGACTGAGTGGTTCCAGACGTAGTTGGGAAGGTCGATAATGGTGTTTGGGAGAGGCGTTGTCTCAGCGTCGCCCCAAGAGTACCGGTTGACCTTAGCAAGGTTGACGCCACCACCAGCAATGAACAGGCGCCCTGCAAGATTGAAAATTGTCTTTCCAGCATTGGCGCCGCGAGACCATGCAGCAACAGACGTTATATCAGATCCGTTCGAAAGAGACTTCAAGATCTGAGAGACTGGACCACCCAAAGCACCAGATGGGCCAATCTCAATGAGGAAGTTGGGACCGTTATCTCCTGAGAGCATTTCCTGAGCTGCCTCGTTGAATCTGACGGGGGAGATCATATTGGATTTCCAGTAGGCACCATCGGTAGTGGTGGTCTTCCTAGATCCAGTGACGGAAGAAAACATTGATACATCTGGGGATCCTCCAAATGAGGTGAAGCCTGTTGACAACAGCGTTTCGTACTCTTCACCAATGACTCCCATCAAAGGTGAATGATACGCTAGGTCGACTTGGAGAAGTCGTGCGAAGTGACCGTCTGACTTGAGGTCAGTGGCTAAAGCCTCCAAGGGGACTCGCTTGCCAGATACAGTGAGACTGCTGGGGCTGTTGAAGCAAGCGATCCAAGCTTCACCGGCGTACTTCTCCAAATAAGGCGCAAGAGCATCAGCGCCAACACCAACAGCTAACATGCCAACGTCTTTCTCAGCCTGCTCTTGACGGTTTAGTGCCGCTCGGCCTCTATAGAAAGAAGCGATGATAGCGCCCGATCGATCTAGGAAGCCAGCAGCATAAGCAGCTGCAATCTCTCCAGATGAATGGCCGACGACGCTTTGCGGCTTGATACCCCAACTCTGGAGTACCGAAATGAGGCAAAGCTGAAGTGCAGTCACGAGCGGCTGAGAGAACTCGGGTTGGCGAAGGTGTTCTGCGGTGCGTGGCTCAGTCAACTCGTCGACAAGAGACCACTTCGGAGGGCTGGGGAGAGTTTGCAAGACACTGTCAAGTTCTTCCAAAATTTGGCGAGTCCATGGGAAGTAACGCAGAAGATCCTTGCCCATCTGAGGCCATTGAGCGCCCTGGCCAGTGAAAACAAAAGCGACTCTTGGTGCCTCCGAGCTTTTCTTCCCTACGACAAACGAGTTTTCGTCCAAGTCAGTCAGGCTGCGCGTGGTCAGGAATGCTCGATGCCATAGACGTGATCTCCTCTCTGAGAGCGTGTAGGCTAAGTCACGAAGATTGACTTTGACGCGGGGATTGATGAGATGGCTTGCCAGAGCCTTGATATTGGCGCGCAAAGTCGCGCTGTCGTTGGCGGAGAGTACAAGAGTGTACGGGTTCTCTGTCTCATCATCTTCTAGCGAGAACTCCGCATCATCCGGAAGATATGAAGAAATATGACGCGGACCACCAGGAATGTTTTGTTGCTCAAGAATCAAGTGCGCATTAGAGCCGCCGTAGCCGAATGAATTGATGCTGGCTCTTCGAGGAGCACCAGTGGGCCAAGGAAGGGCAGTGCGGGACGCCTTTACTTTCAAGCCAACAAAATCAACTGTTCAAGGGCTGTTAGTACTGGAATGGAAAGAAATCATTGCCACTTAGTCTACCTACTCTTAGGGCTTGGGTTCTCGAAAGTGGGATTGCCGGGAATTAACCCGCTTTCAGTGGCCAACACGGCCTTGATGAGACCTGAGATACCAGCAGATGGCTCAGCGTGCCCTACATTGCTCTTGATCTAGCACATGATCATAGTCAGTAATTGAGGGTCAATACGATACTACAATACCCTGGAAAGGCTAGGATACTGACCGAGCCGATGATAAGTGGCTTATCCGCAGATCGACTGTTGGCGAATACTGACGCAGCGCCCTTGACCTCCGTAGGATCACCAGCCTGAAATATTCGTCAGCTATCATAGACCGGAATTTCTGAGACCGGCATAGGCTGACTTGTGTTCCCGTTCCATGGCACTCAAGATACGTAGTGTCGTTAAAGTTGGTGATGCCAGCACTGGCATAGGCAGCTCTAATGGCAGCTGCTTGGGCCTCGGCACTGGGACTGGCGATACCAGGTGTGCGTCCATCACTGTTAGTCGAAGACCCAAGAATGACAGCTCTGATGGGGTCGCGGTCGCGGATAGCGTCGGAAAGTCTCTTGATAATCACGGAGCTGACAGCTTCGGCCTTCACGTATCCGTCGGCAGAGACGTCGAAAGTGTGACAGAGTCCAGTGGGTGAGTGAGCATGACCTACGCCACCAATATCCATAACATGCTCAGGGTTGAGGTAGAGATTGCTTGTAGCAATGATGGCTGCGTCGATCTCACGGGTCTGAAGGTAGCGGCTAGCTACGTCGATTCCCACCAGACTGCCTGAGCAAGCAGTATCAATGGTCATGCTGGACGCTTAGTGATTAGAAACTGAGCTTGAGCAAAGGAGATAATTCATCGTCCTTACCTGGGTCCCTTAATGTTCAGAAAGTGACTTAAGCGGTTGGCCATGATCGACCTTCCAACACCAACGGTAATAGCAGCGGGCCGATCTTCAGGGTCTCTGGCCTGCATATCACCGTAGTCTATGTTTTGTTATAAGAATGCTCTTTTGGAGGTCGCCAGACATACCTGATGCGTAGGATCCAACAAAGCAACCAACCGGGGCGCCATCCAGAGATTCCAGAGGAATTCCAGCGTTCTCGAGTCCCTCATAGACTACTTCGAGCATTTGCCGTTGGTTGGGGTCCATAGAAATGGCTTCGGTCTTTGATATTTCAAAGAAGGATGCGTCAAAGTCGGCAGGATCAATGTCCTCAAGAAACATGCCTCCCAACGGCCGCATTGTGCGAGGCTTTTGGGAGCCATCCCAGTGACCGTTGATGTTGAACCTTGATCCAGGAACTTTATTCGACGCAATACCTCCCCTCTTGAGAAACTCCCAGAGTTTATGAGGGTTGGTGTTTCCGCCAGGAAGTCGGCAGGCAATACCAATGACGGCGATAGGCTCCTTCAAGTGTTGTGAGGTTGACATGTTGCCTCACAGTAGTTCAAATAGATGTAGAAAATCGAATCTTGAAGACGGAATTTGGGGTAACACGAAAAGATGGGTATTGCGGTTTTCTCTACTTTCATAGAACAACCTCTGGCCATGAGCTCGTTTTGTGAGACGAGCTGGGAAGTTTCATTCATATCGATGCTGAGAGAAATCCGCAGGCCTTCACGATTGCCTACCTCCATTGTCATCTTTGATGCTAACTCGGCTGTCGATAACCAATTCGGTAATCCTTGCAAATTGCCTGGCCAGACTTGTTGTACAATGTGCCCGACAAGTCACAACCTCTGATCTGTGACTGGTGTCGCCATCGTGGCAAAGGCTCGAATAAGGTTTCGCCTCTGGCGTTATCAAACCAGAAGATCACGAAACTTGGCCAGACGTGCAGAATCCTTCAACGACGGGGGTTGAGAATACCACGTCGAGTGCCGTTCTGATTGCAAGGTGGCTACCCCGTACATCGCGAATCGCCGACCCCTGCAAATGTTCTTCATTCTCAACATGGACCATGAATCGTAGTCTTCCCGGTTCAGCCATGTTGTCTCGTTCAAGATGTCGCAGTAACAGCCCCCAATGGCGTTGTGTGCGGAGTTTGGCACTTTGTGGCTATGGCATAGAGATAAGCAAGATACGACACACGTCGGACGACCTGAAGTGGGAATTATCCTTACTACATCCACTCAGGCTGACCAGCCTCGATGATATTGCAACATGGAATGAATCATTTGCTGCAGAGTCAGCCAGGTCGCATGCTGTATCAACGAAGTTTCTCGGGTTGACGATGCAAACCGAACGGTCGCAATAGGCCAGGCCGCGGTTCACCGGGAGTCAACCCATGAGAAATACGTTAGGGATTTCGGTAGCCTGGTCGACTTACGTCCAATATCAGCAGTTGAGGTGGTCAACTAGGGCCTCATGCACATAAACGGAGCCAAGGAAGGAGCCTCGGGCCGTCCGGGGGTTTCTCCCGCCCGCAAAGTTGTGGGCCACATCGATGTCGTAAGAATGTTCTGCAGTGGTGTCAATACGTCGGCTAGAACTATTTCCACAAGTTTTTTGATCCCGAACACTGAGACACGTGGCTTGTACCACAAGATACGCGAGTTTGGAACATGAGTGGAGGCGATGGTCTGCTATGGATGATCCTGGATGTTCAGCCATGTGCCGTTTTCGAGCGGTGGCCTCGCACTTTCGTGGTACAGCTGTCTGCAATTTGGCTCTCATAAGTCGTCCGTGTCGCGTTAGAAAGGTTCAAATTTAGTCCGTTCAAGTCCATCCGTTAGTCAAGAGAAGTACATTTTGTTTGCCTCGCCTCAGGTCTCGTACGAAGGCTTCTGCAGACCTCGATCAGCTTTGTCGACAATCTTCGCTTCATCAACCATCCCAAATATATTTTCTACCCTGCGAAATTCTTCCGGGCTTACAAGTATCCCGACCCCGCGCTTCTGAAGACGTATTGCTTTCCCCAATTCAAATTCTGGAATGTCAGCCCTGAGGGAGAAGGTGGAATACAAAACGATCGATGGCGTGGTTCTCCGCGGTTTGTTCTACGCTGCCGGCGACGGTCCAGCTCCGGCTATCATTATGACACATGGTGTACGTTGTTTCGACCGATACAGTTAGAAAAGTACGCTAACGTACCTTACTATCAGTTCAACTGTGTGAAAGAGATGCTGTTGCCGGAACTGGCTGAGTGGTTCCAGTCCTTGGGATTTAACACTCTCATATACGACCCACGAAGTATTGGCGATAGCGACGGGCTACCAAGAAACCATATTAGTCCACTGCAACAGGCGGAGGATCTTTCCGGTAAGTCTGCTACATGAATTCCTAGGCCATGGCCATGGGATAACGCACGTGCTTCTTGCTAACGTCTGCCAATAACAGACATTGTAACACACGTTGCATCGTTCCCAAGTGTGGATGCCCGTCGCATCGTTCTTTGGGGCATGTCTTTCGGTGCTACGGTGAGCGCTTGTGCAGCCGCTGTTGATCGGCGGGTGAAAGCGCTGGTTATGGTGTGCCCCATCTTTAGTTTCGTCCAACCAGAGAAGCGGGAGAAAGCGTTCGCACAGCTCATCAGAGACCGGCAGTCCCAGCTTCGTGGTAACGAGCCGTTTTCGTTGCCTCCTTTCAATAGCAGAGGTGAGAACCCCATAGGCATGGCAGGATCCGGGGGGCCTGGGGGCATGGAGGCATACAATTTTATGAATGCCGTTATCGATCGTGGAGCACCCAACTTTCGGGATCGAATTACGTTGCAGACGTACCACAAGCTGGCCCTGTTCAGACCCAAGGAGCTACTTGATCTCGTTCGGACGCCAGTTCAAATGATCGTTCCCGAGCTGGATGACATATCTCCAGCCGAGGAGCAGAAAGAGGCATTCGGGCGATTTGAAGGACCGAAGGAGCTATATCTTGCCAATGGAAAAGGGCATCTCACTGTGCTAAGCGGTAGCGGATCCAAAGATATTTGGCAAACGATGGTAGACTTCATTCGTCATGCACTTGATTAATTATCAGTACATAATACGACCTGTTCACAGACGTTCATCTACTAGCGATTGTGTGTAATTCACTTTTCACACCTATGAGCTCAAAAATACAAGCCCTTACGCAACCCAATTGAATTCTCCCTTACATCCATTGCGTGTTTGAGATAGTTTTCAGTCCCCCTTCCCCTGAGATTCGAGCATACAACCTTTGAGTCTATGCTGACAAGTTGACGGAACCCAACTTCCTATTTTGTTCACAAACCCGAGTTCGTGGAAAATTTGGCCCTTGTCGGCCGCGTAGTCATCCACGTTACCGTTGTCGTTCTGGTAGCGAAATTGAGATTCATGAGGACCCATTCGCACGCAATCAAACCCCCACGTGAGGCAAGAGATCCCACTTTTGTCCATCCTTGCAGTATGCATGGTCAGCATTTGGCCCTCACTAGAAAGCTTGTCTGTAGCAATCTGCGAGACGCTGACCATGCAGGAACAATGCCTCCATTCAATCAAGGTGGAACTCAATGGTACAGCTACCCTGTCGCTTTCATGTCGCCATAAACCGTTTATGGAAATGATGTTATTGCAATTGATACCTCGCAGCCTGCATGAATGGAGACTACAGGGCAGGTCCAGTAAAGTGACGGCATTGAACTTCGATGACAAACCTGGAGACAGACGCTCAAGCAAGTTTCGGTGCCAAAACCCATTACTTACCATGCATTCATCAATGCCGGCTGTGACCATGCTTGGCCAAGCTGCCCGGTAAGCAAAGCTCATGAGGTCTACTGAGTCTGAATTTGTCATCCCTTTGCGCATTACAGTGCATCAGAAATGTTAACATTCGCTGCGTTACGCGACGATGACGAGTTAAGAGAACAATTTGAGTTGATATTTGAAGGCAATTGATATTCCATAATCCACAAGCCTGCACCGAACTTCGTTCACCTCTGTATCTCTTTGTGTATTCAGCTGTGTTGAGTCTGCCCTGAACAAAAAGTAACAATGGCACCAACTACTGTGCTCATCACTGGGGCCAATCGCGGCATCGGCAAAGGTCTTCTCGAGAAATACCTGGCTAGACCTAATCACACCGTCATCGGCACGGTCCGCGATCCCAATCACGAGTCATCTAAGGCCCTGGCTAGTCTGCCCAAAGCCAATGGGTCTTCTCTGGTACTTGTTAAATTTGACATCACAGTCAAGGCTGACGGTCTAGACGCTGTGAAACAGCTGGAAGCGCAGGGCATTGATCATCTTGACGTTGTCATTGCCAATGCCGGTGTCTGTTTTGCATGGCCCAAGGTGTCCGAGATCAAAGTCGAAGAGATCGAAGGCCACTACGTGCCGAACGTCCACGGTCTTATTTTTACGTACCAAGCTACGCTGCCTCTGCTGAAGAAATCCAAGAACGGCAAGTGGATTACAATTGGCTCGTGTTCGGCCTGGTTGACGGTAAGACCATTCTCAAATCTCGCGGACAGGTCGTCCGCTAATAAACCTGCAGAACCAACTTGACATGCCAAATGCGGCTTATGGTACATCTAAGGTCGTTGCACACTGGTTGACCAAGGCTATCCACCGAGAAGAGCCGGAGCTAGTTGCGTTTCCCATCGACCCGGGGTAAGACAGGCCAGCTCGTGCACCTGCGGACGAACATACTGACAACTGCCTCAGCTGGGTCCAGACGGACCTTGGAAACAATGGTGCCCATTACTTTGGCCATGAGCAAGCGCCATTGAAAGTTGAAGATGTAACTGAGGGAATTGTCAAGGTGGTTGACTCAGCCAAGAGGGATAGCCACGGCGGGAAGTTGATCCAGTGGGATGGTGTTGTGCTGCCTTGGTAATAATATCAATATTGGTTTGACATCAGTCGTGAGCAAGCATGGCCTGTGTTTTCTAGTCCAAATTGGAAAGATTGAAGGAGAAGGAAAGAAAATAAAACGCTCTGCACAACTTGACATGAGAATTTTCAGCCACTGAGATTCATGATTGATACAATATAATGCTGTCGTGAAATTCCTGTGTTTTAGTGCAGTTTATCTTACGCCGCCTTAAGCAATTCGGGATGATATTTGAAAGTTTCGAGTCCTTTGTGATATTCACTCCAACTCTTCATATACTTAGGTACAAAATCGAACCTGAACCATGTGCAAGACATCTTCTCATTCCATGGTAAGGAGGTAAACGTTGTTTTATCAGTTATGGGGGTTTCGTTCTGGCGTTATTCTGGAAATTCTTTCTATTAAAACGACTATTAATACAATCAGAAAACTGAAAAAGCTTCAACAAAGAAAGCTAGTTCGGAGGGTTTGACGACCGCAGACATAGCAGTCTACCGAACTCGACTCGCGGTTGACACCAGTATGAAACCCTGAGCAAGCTCTTAGTTCCTACAGATGCGTCCATCAGAGGCAACGGTAACCTCGTCTGCCCCCACAGAAGTGTGCGAATACAAAAGAAAGTCCGGGTCGTAGGTTTTCTTGATATGCAGCAGCTTCTCATAATTTGAACCGTAATAGTCCGCTTTCCAATCCACATTGTCGTATGTGCCTTCGTTCATATACGCTCCTCCACCAGGCGTTAAGGGTTTGAGACGATCTTGAAAGCCGTTGACTTGCGCTTGGATTGCATGAACATCTGACACTGAGGATGCAGGATCAAACAAGACGTCGACATTGAGCCAGTACAGAGATTCGCGCCAGGCCGGAAGAACAGCGTTATCGCCTGGACTGTTCCCTGTGCGAGCGTGTGTAACGTTCGCGGCGATGCCATTGACTCGTACTGAGGGAAGGCCTGACTTGACGACGTCTCGTAAAACCGCAATCAGACCGGTTGCGTTGCCTTCAATCGTCGAACGCTGGATGAGACGGCCGCCGATGACGTCGTTTGTAGTGTACGGCCCATAGGGCATATCGCCCGTGTAGTGTTCGTAATGCTCGTAAAAGGTTGAGCGGTCGCTGGTCTCATACGAAGAAGGGACGATGCCGAGGCTATCAAGATCTTTGAGGAACGGCGAGAGAGCATCAGCCACCGTGGAAGCGTTGCCTCCAGGCAGAGTCGCAAAAGCGATACTGAATGATGCGTTGGTAAATCCCCAGACAGTGGTGAAACCCGGAATTCGGTCTAGGATAAGAAGATGACTCTGCCATTTCTCAATAGCTGCCCAGAAAGATTCTTCGTTGGTGTTTTCGAAGGCCAGGGATCCTCCCGCGACCTGTCCGTCGAGGTGTGCCTTGGTCGTCAACGATAATACGATTCCGTAAGTACCACCTCCGCCACCACTCAGTGCCCAGTAAAGGTCTGGGTTTTCTGTACGCGATGCCACAACATGTCTCCCATCTGGAGTTACAACCTCGAACTCCAGCGTGTTGTCAGCAGCAAGGCCGTAAGTAGCTCCTAGTGGGCCGTGTCCGGCGCCTTGAACATAGCCACCGGCCATGCCGACAGTGGGACAGAACCCGCCAACAACTCGGAGCCCATGGCTGGCCGCTGCAGCGTAGGCTTCAAAGAACTGAACACCTGCGGATACCTTGGCTGCAGGACCGGTGTACACGGTACTACTGTAGTTGAGGAATGTGATGTCCTTGAGATTGTGCGTCCACAGAGCAAGAGACCCTTCACCGTTGGAACGACCAATGTAATCGTGCCCAGTATTTTTAATGCTCAAACGGACATTGTTCTGTCTCGCAAACTCCAGACCTGCGACAACATCGGCGACACTGCTGACATTGATAGCGAAGGATGCAATGTTTCCTAGTATGCAGGACGCGTTCTGTGGAGCAAAGGGGCTGCAGGTGCTGTTGAGCCAGTAGGGTGACATGATGTTGACAGGATCCTGAAAACTGGGTTTGGATGTCAATGAGATGTTCGTCTGATGGGAGCAATCTCGGTCCACAAAGGGGTGACTGACTATGTGACTGGTTCGGTCCATCGCGCCCGAATGTCGGCACAGGCGTCAGCATCGTACCAGGCGCCATGACAAGATTTCGCCAACGGTTCCCCTACAAGGAGTCTGCCGCCGACGGTATCATTGAGCCGTCTCCAGTCTGCCGGATTTGGCCACTGTCTATCTCCCGGAAGATAGCGACAGTTTGCAGGGGATGTGGAGCCATTCACAGGCGCCGCGGTGATCAAAGAGACGTGCAACAAAGCCGTGGCTATGCCGAGGAGAAGGGATGCATGTGCCTGCATGTCGGACGAATCTGAAATACAGACGCAACTTTCAACAAGATTGACAACTAGATCGGCCCATTCAACAAGTCTGATAGAGACAGAGTGATTGACGCAAAAAGCAAGAACCAGTTTTTCTTAAGGAACGAAGACATGCAAGTTTAGTATGAGGCTGGTCGTTAATCATTGAGTTTAACGATCTCTTGATCAGCCCACGTCGAAAGGGGCTTTACACGCTATCGAATCCTACTGATGCCTGTGCTAGAATAATCAGTCACTTCCCAGCCTCGAGGAGTTCATCGGACTAGCCGAGACCCCTCCGGGCCGCCCGGCAGGTAGTCCCATTAATTTCTCCTGAGTTAATCCAGCTCCCGTTGTGGAGAAGACATGAGCCCATCCAAGTCCCATGAACTACATCTGAGTCAGATCCAAATTGGATAGTGCCATTCGTGATACCCGGTGGACACCTAAGTATACCATTGCTTCGTCTCCGACCTTGATCTTGATCCCATCTAATGTTGGGACATGGAGTCGTGGTCGAAGACTAACTTTGCAGGGGCTGCAGCCGGATGCCCGTCTACGCGGCATGCCCAAGACTGTTGGACCCTTAGATAACCCTGCACCGTAAGCTATACGCGTCAATAATCCTGCCAAGGAGGACGTTGGGTTTGTGCCACCTTGGCAATCAGTAAACTCTGAACTTGGGCATGGTGTTGGCGGTGGATGTTGCTGACCATGCATAATAGCGTGCTCACCGGGGTCAATGTAATCAATGGGTCAACCCCGGGCCGCCCCGTTCCTGCCGTTCCCTTGATATGCCTACATGATTCAGAATCCCCGCTCATTCAGGCAACACGTTCTCTCCATGGCTAGTATCACCTACGGCTTTAGCTTCCTTCGTGCATATTACGTCAAATTGAAATCGAGAACAGCAGAAGTCTCGAACTGAATTGCATCATGAAGAGCCAGGCAGCATCAGGAATAGTGCCTGAGCAGAGCTGGAAACATGTCTAAGACGAACAGTACAATATGAATAGAAACTGCAATGTTTTACAAAGGGCTGGTCCTTCAGCTTGACATGAAAATTTTGACATCCCGTCCTCATCAATGAATGAGATCATGTCACCGTTCGAGCGCTTCGGACAGAGCCCTTTTCTGGCTAGTGTTACAAGCACATGGAGAGAAGATGGGCTGTTAAGCTTGCCAACACTTTATGTTGCTCTGACTGTGTGGCTTTTGTACATCTTCTTCCTCACCACGTATCGACGTAAGGATGAATGGCACCTTGGGCAGTTTTCATTACAGAACGGAATTTGACAAAAGACCAGTTTTTCTTTCTCCGATCTCTAGTATTCCAGGACCAAAGCTCGCTGGTGAGATTGCCAAAACGCATCTCCTCACAACTCAAGAGCCTCCCGCTAAACAACGCCAGCTGTAACCTATTGGCATGAGATCTATTACGATGTCGTGCTTGGGGGTCAGTATTACCGGAAGATCGGCCAAATGCATGAGAAATACGGTCCGTCGTCCTGCCACATCTTACCAACGATATGACCAATGACTAAACATGACCGCAGGCCCCATCGTTCGCATAAACCCCCATGAGGTCCACTTCAATGATCCAGACTTCATCGACTCCATCTTTCCGGGACCTGGAAGGAAGACAAACAAGTACTTCTTTACCGGCAGGCGAACAGGAAGTAAGCCGAAAATGAATTCATCATTTGAACCTTGTCCTTGGCTGACCGATATTCTCTTCACTTCGACAGCTGCGGAGTCCATCGTCGCAACTATAGACCATGATATGCACCGAAGACGTCGTAACGCCATCAGCGGATTCTTCTCAACGGCAAGTATTCGCAGACTGGAACCCATCATTCAAGAGCACTTGAAAAAGTTACTTGCGCGGATGCAAGACGCCGGTAAAGCAAGCGAGGTGTTACCTATGCACTACGTTTTCCGGGCTTTTACTAGCGACCTGATTACAGAGTATGCATTTGGTGACTCATTTCATTTTCTGGAGAAGAGCGATTTCGCTATGCCGTACATGTTGTCGACGGACGTGTTTTTCATCCTCAACCACACTTTCTGCCACTTTCCTTGGGTCGGCACATTGCTAGCTTTAGCCCCACCATGGGCCGTCAAGACGTTCATCCCGTCATTAACAGAAATGTGGGACAAACAGATGGTATGTTGCCCGATGCCCGAAGATTTGAACCTCAGGATATCCGTGGCTTAGATTTGAACAGATGTGGATCGAAAAGGTTGAGGAAATCAGGAACTCCAAAAACCCTGACAGTGCGAAGAACACGATTTTTGAGGGAATACTTAACAGCAAGCTTCCTGACGAGGAGAAGACGATTCCAAGACTTGCGCATGAAGCACAGCTTGTCGTGTTTGCTGGCGAAGGTACAACGGCATACACATTACAAGCTGCTATCTACCAACTACTCGCCAATCCGACCGTCTTCCATAAGGTCAAAGCCGAGATCATTGCCGCTCTTCCTGACCCGGAAGAGGTGCCATCCTTTGCAAAGGTTGAGAAGCTGCCGTATTTGAGTGCCATCATTCAAGAAACAGTACGCCTTCACCCTGGCGTCGTTTCCAGACTACCTCGAGTCTCGCCCGACGTTCCCATTGTGTACCATGACAAGGGCAAAGGGAAGCAATATGTTCTTCCTCCAGGTACGTCGACAAATATGACCACACAGATTGCGCACATGAATCCGATAGCCTTTGAGGATCCCCACGAGTTCCGCCCTCAGCGATGGATCGACAACCCCAGACTAGACAAAGGTTTCATCGGATTTGCAAGGGGTACTAGAAACTGCATTGGGTACGTGATTGTTGCACTGATTTTAATGATTACCATGTTGACAATCAATCACAACAGCATGAACTTTGCACGTCAAGAAATGTCAATGGTGCTTGCTTCAATCATCCGCAAATACGACATTTACAACGGCCAAGAGGGTCCTTCGCTCGAATTATTCGATACCACGCGGGAAAGAGACATTGACCTTAACCAAGACTACATCATTCCATTCCCAGCAAAAGGAAGCCATGGCCTGCGGATAAAAGTGCGAAATTGAGACTGTACCCTAAGTTCCAATGAATCTTTCATCATCGCCAGACCTACGCTTCTGTTGGCGGTGGAATTAGAGCTGTCTCTTGGGCAAAAGAGTTAAAGAGCTCCGAGCAGATTTATAGAGTGTCGTTATCTCGTCATTGTTGGCATTCGTAGAGAAATACAATAACTCCAGGGCAAGACCATGCATCCCTCTCACTCGTGTTTTATGTCCAACATCCATCATACGTATTCACCCCATGTAGATATGTCTTAGGTCCATGTTGCGCGTTAATTTAGCAAGGAATGTTCGTAGGCGAATGAGGGGGGTCGACAACGTAGTCATCATACAACACAAGCGAGCCGCTGTGAGCCTCGTTGCGGACCTTTCCGTTGCTGTCCTTGAGCACAGTGAAGCGACTAGAGTAGCTGTTTGGTGCAGATGATCTGTTAGCGGAGTCCGACCGTAGTTTAATGTCATGGCGGCGACTCGGCCGAGAGCAGGGGCGAGTGCTTACTATGCAACCGAGCAGTTGCCACCGTCGAACCGCGATTGGATGACACCGAGCACATTGTAGATCTTCTCGGTAGAAGTCTCCGAGTGCACCGTGGTAGCGTTCGGCAGATGGTTCCACTGCTTCTCGCCTGTTGTGGGGAGCAGAGCCTGCTTGAGCTTGACGATCGCATCCGGTCCCTCCGCTGTGTTCTCGAGCACAATCAGACGGCCCGTGTCCGGGACGAAAAAGTCTGTGAACGTGTCGGTGGACGTGTGGTCCTCGGCGAAAGCGTACAAACTGAGGGAAACGCCAGTTAGCACTTGGAATGAATAGGGACACTCAAGAATGCGGCAGGTTCGACTTACGACTCAAGGAACGGCTCGAAAGAGGCGTCGACGCCTGATCCAGCCTGGTACCTGGCCATATCGACTCCCAGAGCAGTGCCTAGGAGAGTGAACGGGAGGAGAACCTTGCAGGCTTTCATTTTGAAGATGTTGTGGACTTGATCGGGTCGTAAGGCGAAGGGAAGGGTGGTGATGCAACGGCTGAGAGGCAAGCGACATGTTCAAGCATGGCAGTACAAGGTACTTATATAGGGACCGATAAAGCCTGGACCCTTTGGCTACGTGTCGAACGGACAGATGATTTATGATCGGAGGTCACGGACGGTGTAAGGCTGTCAGTACCCTTGGTAGGTAGATTCTTTCCACCGATGAATATGGGTCTTGAGATATGGAGATATCCACCTCTCTAGCTCTATCCACTGTCGCTCCGATCGAATTTGTTATGCAAATAGAACTGAGTGCTAGTCGATGCTTTTTGTTTTTCAAACCGTGCTCGGTGCCAATTTCATGTCACGTTGTACACGCAATATCATTCATTCGATTTGTAACCTTGACACTTGCTTCGAAGTGCCGCCTGATTCATTTGCAAACTGAACTCATGATCTCAACTGCTTCACTAGACATTCACCGTGGCGAGTCATTGTTCAGTTGAACATCAGTCAGTTTCCCTGGTTCGCTATCCACTTCCATAGTTGACCGCTCACCTTTTCCACAATGCCAATGTTTGTGATCAGCAGGGACACGTGCGGGTGGCATCTCACTAAGCCTCATTTAGATCGGTACCGACTAAATCATTCCCAAGACGTAGTGTTGTCCAGGAAGTCACCCACAGACTGATTACATGATTCATGCCATGAATGAAGAATCATGGAATAGTCCGCCGGCAGTCAAGTGGTAGGCAAGAAGTGAATGCCTATTATGAGCCACGTAAACAGCCGAAACCCAGCCAACGGGAGTTGTTAATTGCGAATTAATTCAAATACCTACTTTGCGAGATCCTTGTCGCTCATCGTGTCTAAGGAGAAATGCAACATCAATTTTCCAACTTACCCAGTCACAAAGTTTGACCTGGCGCGACGGTTCGGCCCGGCCAAGAAAGCAAAAGCTGTGTGATCTGCTGCCCCATTCAAAGATCCTGGATAGTCTAGTCGGGGATTAGTGAGCCTCTTATCTCCAGGAGTGCCATTACACTTTTCTCAATTTACTTGACTACACAACGTTCAAAGTGCATGATACTGGCTTGAGAAATGGCTGGATGGTTCTTCTGCAACAATCTGCCGAACATTTCTACTGCCTTATGTTAGTGGAGGCCTGAACCCCTGTGTCCGATTTAGTGTGGCGATCTTGGCCCAGACCAGCGGAGTTTCCACACATGAAGCATTCTTCATCGAGTGTTGACGGAAAGATTTATCGGTGATGAGTAGAACCCAATTGAACTTCGAATGACTATTGAAATTGAAAGAATCATTCTCATCGATGAGATAGTCTATGTACAAGCAGAAGTACGAGGAACGTTTTGTTGTCTTTCACTCTTTGCATCAACTGGCAAAGATGACTGATGACTAATTCGGAGATGCTGACGTAATTGACGGAGTCCGCGTGCTTGTCCGTCATGTCATCCGTGCGCGCGCGGCGTTGAGCAAGGAGGTTGCTTCTTCGTCGGAGAATCTGAACAGAAGTCCAGTCAGAACATTCCGATGCCATCCCAACCGTTTCCCATCAAAACCGAACCCTTTTCCATGCTCAACCATCGCAACTAGCGCCTCCAAATCATGGCGGGGATGCAATTGGGGCTGCAGGTGGCCTTCTACCTCTATCCCTGCGGTCTCTTCGTCGCCCTGCTGGGGGCCCAGTCCGTCCAGTTCTGGCGCGAAAGACGTGGCGGACCGCGCCGGGACGCGCCGGACGAGAAGGCCGTCGCCCTGCGCAAGTTCTACAACCGCCTCATCTGGTTCTTCCAACTAATTCTTTCTGCTGTTCTGGTGAGAAGCCTTTCATATTAATCCGGGCGAAGATCACGTCGAGGCTCACAAGTTCCCAGTTTGCCAGCACCATCGTTGCCGTCCGTGAGGCGTTCGGCGGCCACTATGAGGGCCCGGCCAAAGTCGACTTTCCCTTCGCCGCTTACATTGTATGTGTCAATCGCTGCTCATCTTCACGATACACCCAATTGACCGACACTTAGGCGTCGTACGTCGCGGTTCTCCTCTACTTCCTCGCTGGCCTGCTTCCTGATCCCGAGGGGCCGTGGGTGCCGACCGCATGCCACGCCTATGCCTGGATCGTCGCCATCCTCTTCGAAGCGGTGATTGCCGCCCTCTTCTTCTCGGAGCACCCTTACCTGCGAGTGTCGAAACCCCTTCTAGACTCTCTTTCCTCTCTAGGCTTCGCCAGGATCGCAATCCTCCTGTTCATGTCCATCGCGCTGGCGTTCCGGGAATACCGATTGCGACCGTCAACGCCCAGGTCAACCCCGGAAGAGCGACAATCCCTGCTGCAGAACGGCAACGGCTCGGCCAATTATGGAGGCGCCCACCCTCACGGCCCGCCCGCTGGACCCAGGCAACAGGTCCAGGGCACCGGTTGGCTCGATTACTTTGCTGGCTTCAAAGTTCTCTTCCCTTATCTCTGGTATGACGACTGACTGCTGTGAATGTAGTCCATCTGCTAACTGTACCTAGGCCCAAGGACTCACCTCTTTACCAGGCAATCGTCGTCTTCTGCTTGGTCATTCTCATCCTGCAGCGCACCGTGAACGTCTTCGCTCCCGTCTTGCTTGGCTCTCTCGTCGACGAACTCGGCCACGGTGGCATTCCCTACCGAGAAATCATCCTCTATGTCGTCTTCCGTGCGCTTCAGGGTAACCAGGGAATCCTCGGTGCTCTGCGATCCGTCCTCTGGATCCCCGTCTCGCAATCTCTCTTCCGCAGGCTCTCTTGCGCCGCCTTTGAGCATGTCCTGGGTCTGTCTCTGGAGTTCCACCTCAACAAGAAGATTGGTGAGGTCACCAGCGCCCTGAGCCGAGGTGCTGCGATGAACACATTCCTCGAGAACTTCTGCTTCCAAGTGTTCCCCATGGTCTTTGACATTTTCGTCGCTGGCGTCTTTTTCTTCGTCAAGTATGACGCGTTCTACACCATCATCGTCTTCTTCATCATGTGGTCTTACATCTTCCTGACTATCTACGTCGCCAAGTACCGCGGCAAGCAGAGGAGGGACATGGCCACGAAGATGCGTGAGATGGAGGCCATCAAGACCGACGCCATCATGGCATACGAGACAGTCCAGCACAATAACGCTGTCGTTCCAGAGACGCAACGATTCAAGGAGCACGTCGTGGTGTACCAGAGGGCCGAGCGACTCGTGCAGTGGTCCCTCAACGGCCTCAACCTTACGCAGAGCTCCATCTTCTCCCTCGGAACCGCACTGCTCGTCGCCGTGTCAGCCTACAAGATCTCCATTGGCGAGCAGACCGTCGGCGAGTTCGTCAGCTTGATCAACTACTTTGTCCAGCTTCAGGGCCCTCTCAACTTCTTCGGCACATACTACACCATGCTCCAGAATAATCTCATCGAAGCGGAGCGAATGCTTGATCTCGTAAGCCCTCTGCGTCAGTGTGGGGAGTAATCTACTGATGCGTTGCAGTTCAAAGAAACATCCGGTATCGTCGAGAAGCCCGATGCAATCGCATTGCCGTCACCTAAGGGAGAGGTTGCGTTCAACAATGTGAAGTTCTCCTACCAGACGAAGAAGGGCGACCCCGCCCTTGATGGTGTCAGCTTCACCGTCGCCCCCGGAACCAAGACTGCCATCGTTGGAGAGTCCGGCAGCGGCAAGTCGACCTCACTCAAGCTCTTATTCCGCTTTTACGACGTCCAGGAGGGTGCCGTCACTGTCGATGGTCACGATATCAAGGATCTCAAGCTAGACAGCCTCCGCAGGCACATTGGTGTTGTCCCGCAGGATACCGTTCTTTTCAACGCAACGATCATGTACAACCTCCTCTACGCCAACCCCAAGGCGTCCGAGGCCGACGTCTTCGAGGCTTGCAAGGCGGCGAACATTCACGAACGTATTCTCAACTTCCCTGATGGATATGAGACCAAGGTTGGTGAGCGTGGTCTGAAGTTGTCTGGAGGTGAACGCCAGAGAGAACGTATACCCCACCCCCAAGTGCACGATACATCACTCTAACATGTCTTAGATTGCCATCGCACGAGCTATTCTGAAGGACGCTCGCATCTTGCTGCTGGACGAGGCTACCGCATCCCTGGATTCTCACACTGAGCGACAGATCCAGGATGCCTTGGAGCGTGTGACTGCCGGAAGAACCACAATTACCATTGCGTGAGTCGACTGCCATCTTATGTTCTCAACGAAATGATTTCATCTTGCTGACACATCCAACAGCCACCGTCTGTCCACGATCACCACATCTGACCAGATCGTTGTCCTCCACAAGGGCAAGATCGTCGAACGCGGCACGCATTCCGAGCTGTTGTCTCTGCAAGGTCGCTACCACGCCATGTGGGAGAAGCAGACCACCATTGAAAAGAAGGCGCAGGAGAAGACCGAGAAAGAGGGCGAGTCGTCCGAGACGGCTTCGCAGGAGTAAAATCGTACACTTTCGATAGAAGATTGTATCATTACCTGTAGTTATAGAAAAGTCTGAACCTAAATGAATCTCGAGAATGATTCGCGACATCGTCGTATAGTCCTGCCCCATCATCGACCCTCGGGCAGGCTTCTCGGTATTTACTGTTCCACAATGAATGAATCTTATGTGGGACGCCCACTATCTCTCACAACTAGGCGGCAACGACAAGTAAAAGCTTCATCGTGGCTCACGCGGCGGAGGCTTCGACACACTCGGCATGAAGTTGCCCCGTCTGCATGCCATGGCTGGTTTCGGTGGCTAGATCCTTGGTCTAAGAAATGGCTAGACATTCTTTAATTGGCTGATGAAAGCCATTGATGACAGTGATCTCCATCGGGGATAGCGTTGTAAGCTCACTGCAGATTTGGGTCCGTCCCGGGGGATCACCGCCGCAGCTGATCCCTGCACAACCATCTACCTCTTCCAAGCCGCAGGCAGATAAGTACTGGCGACATTCTTTGAGGTGCACATTTCAAAACCTTCACGTATGTCCATTCTGGGTCAAAAGCCGTAAGCAACTTGCATTATCGCGACCTTCACCATCTCGTCAACTCGAATTCTGGGTATCATGCTTGACCACGTCCCGAAAATGCCTGTCAATGTTCTCCCTCCGATGCTCCACTCTGGGGAGGCCCAGTGTCCGGATGACGACTGGACTGGTCTCCGTGACAGGGCAGAGCGACGGAAAAGACAGAATCGCTTGAACGTTCGAGCTCACAGTATGTAACCTGCCCTTTTTCCAACGAGCTTTGGTGACGAACTAGTCGAGCAGGAAAGAAGAAAGCCCTAGAAGCTCTCCAGAAGAAAGATAGTCAAACACAGGATGACGGAGATTTCTCATGGGAGAGAGCGGTTAAAACTGCTGGCACAGCGCCCAGAATCCAGATTCTCCAATGGGTACCGCCAGCGAAGTCATGCCAGCTGGGGTCTGAAGACCCATCGAAGTCCTCTGGAAGCGGAAATGAGGTAGCAGATGGACAAGATGTTCAAGCGATAGTCCGTTCATCGCGTCGTCGCCTATCCGCCTCCAAACTTCGTGCCAAATCGAAGCTCCCCGGCACGGTTCCGCCATACTATCGAAACCCCGCCAACTGGTTCCCCCTTTACCGAGATCATCTCATCCCGCTGGTCTACTACAACGTCTTTCGAGCGACAATCACCAACATTCACATTCTCTCTCTCACCTCTCTCCTGGAAAGCCCATGCACCCCAGACCTCCATTCCACTCCCCTCTTCCCCGCCCCATCCTCGATCCCACCCACGCTGCTTCCTACCGCTTTGCAGAAGTCCACAGTTCACGAAAACTGGATCGACATATTTCCATCAGGAGGCATGCGAGACAACGCCATCCGCTATCGAGATATCTACGATCACCGTGAGATGTGCATCGACCTCGTGGGCTGTTCAGAAAGTACTCAATGTAGCGACCAACCGGGTATCATAGCCTGGTCTGATCCATGGCATCCGGACGGCTGGGAAGTCACTGAGAAATTCGTCAGAAAGTGGGGATTCCTATTGAAGGGTTGCGAGGATGTGATGAGGGCGACTAATCGATGGCGGGAGATGAGGGACGAGGAGCCACTGGTCTGGGAGCTGGAATGAAGAACAACTTGTTGTGACATTATAATGTATTGGGACCCTGGGGTTGCTTGTGAATAATCAGTCCTCTTTCTCCACGGATTATTGTCTACACCTAGTCGGGATTTTTTTCACAGCTCTGAAGATCCATTCTGACACCATGCCTCAATACACATATCTGAACTGAGGAATCTCCTTATCCGTCTTGTCAAGTAGGTTCAGCGGGACATGGTCCCCGACCCCGACATCGAGAACCTCTCCGATGCTGTCTCTGCGCTTGTTCTCCCAGATGAGGTAGTACCGGAGCGCAAAGCACGTGAGAACTCCGATGCCGTAGCAGATCAACATGGCCAGAAATCCAGACCTGTATGACGGAGCCTCCCATTCGAAAAAGAGCTGAGGGCCGATGATGTTTCCGGCGCAGTACGCAATGAAGATCTGTCAGTGTCAGTCTCGTAATGTCTCCATGAAATCCAAAGAATAGCACTCACCATGGCGTTGACAGTGGTCTTCTTAGTGAACCCGCCAAAGTTGCCCGAAGACATCGACAAGATCATCGGGAAGTTGGCGCTGTACGCAATCGTCAAGCAGTACCCCATGAACCTCGCCCACTTCAACTCGGGCGTGATCTGCCTCACCATGGCCGCACCCACAATCGACACAGCCAGGTTCCACGCCATCCAGTATGTCCGGCTGTTTTTGAAGTAGGTGCTTCCTCCGGTGGCCATCAGCACAAAGACAAGCTGGAACACGGACCCGAGCATCTGCACCAGCAGAGTGTTGAGCGTGCTGAAGCCCATACCCTTGATCACGATTGACCCAAACCCGTGGACACCGCCGTTGGCGATCTGCGCGCTGATTTGGATTGTGAAGAGCAGCCAGGCCTTGATGTCTGTGAGGGCCTCGATGCACTGGTTCCACTTGAAAGTGTCGCTCTTGATGCCGGTCATGTTCTCCGCCACGCGCTCAATGGCCTTGATGCGGTCGGCCTCGTTGAGGAATCGGGCTTTAGTGGGGGTATCGGGGAGGAGGAAGAAGATCGTGAATGACCAGGCGGTGGTGATGCCTCCGAAAATGAGGAAGACGGCCTGCATATGAAATTAGCGGTTGCCGATAAGCATGGAAAGGGAAGCGGCATACCTTCCACGGAGCGATGCTCTCAATGTGGCCAATGGCATAGGCCACGACTCCACCAAAGATGCCGGCGATGGTGTTTCCAAGGAACCAGGCTCCATGTCGCAGAGGTTGCTCAGAGCGCTTGTACCACATGGAGACGACGATGGATAGACCTGGGGCGATGGCTGCTTCAGCGACACCGAGCATAATGCGGTTTGCAAGCAAGCCAGCGGCATTGAAGCAGACGGCGGTCAACATCAAGATGATGCCCCAGACAAGACTGAGATGTCAGCTTGCGCTCGCCATATAGCCAAGGGCTCGACCTACACTGAAGTGGCAATCATCTTGCCGACGGGGAGGCGGACCATGGCGACGCCGGCAGGATACGAAGCGACGAGGTACCCAAAGTAGTAGATACTACTCGCCCAGGAGTACTCGGAACCGGAAAGGCCCATGTCGTCTCTGAGACCCATGATGGCGGTGTAGCTCAGTGCGGACTTGTCGAGAAACTGGAAGAGGTACGACATGGCCATGACGGGCAAAAGGCTGTAAGGCCATGTCAGTGAATGGACACCAAGTTTTCAGCACAGAGTTACCACTTGCCACATATCAATTCTGCGGAGGATTCTCTTGTCCTCCTCTGGGGTCAAGCCTTGGCCTGAGATGAAACCGTCGCCAATGTCTTTAAGCGTCTGGTCCGCCTGGCCGACATCGTCGATGGGAGTCTTTTCCAGCTTTTCCGTCATCGTTGCGGACAATTGAAGGCGAAGGGAGCAAGAATGCAGCAGGTTGGACTTCGGGTAGCGACTCAGATGCAACGCAGGGACGACGGGTGAAGAAGATCTTATAAGTCGATCAGCAACACCCCGACAACGAAGCCAAGACAGTGAACGCGTGATTGTTATCACACCAGCTCAACTCGACAGGATGGATGTCCGAACCCGGCCAGCCCAATGCGGAATCGCACAACTGGTTATCCACGGGAATCGATTCCGCGCGGCGATGATAGACGACGTCCGGATTACTTCGTGGTGTTATTCCATCGAATTCGCCGCCTGACTGATAGCCGCTGATAACACACGATAGCCGACGCGACTTTGCATTTAAACATTAGCCGATTCCACGACCCCGGCCGGATCCTTCAGCAATGCGGGGAAACCAACGTCCAAGGGGGCGGATCATCGTGTCACGCACGGCATTGGTTGAGAAGCTCAAGAGGCGGGGATGCTGTCAAAAAGACCAGGCAACCTACCGGAGGTCTCAGATAACAAACAACCCCACCTCGCCGGACTGGAACCGCTCGCGCACATCAACTCGTCTGCCCAGCTTATTCTGCATCTCAATGATCTCTTTCAAGAAGACATGAGCGCGATCGAGGTTCTTGCCAAACCGACTCATGCCCTGGAACCGGCTGAGCACCCACTCCCTGTGCAGCAAGTCATCCGTCTCAAGCGCGACCATGAACAGCGGCCACGCGATGCGCGTCATGGACTCATCGCCTTCATGCTTGAAGGCCTGGAAAGCTAGGTTCATGATCTCGCGCAGGGCGTTGCGTTGGCGTGTGGAGAGCATAGGGGTGTCGTTGAAGCGAGTCAGGCGGAGGAACTCTAGCACGACGGCGTGGTAGTGTGGGACGATGCCACGGATGTTGGCGACGAGACGGTGGGAGTTGTCCGTGCTGATGGACAATTCCGCTGCGACTTCGAGAAGCTCGGTGAACTTCCAGCCAACTTGCTGGATGGTCATGTCCACCGCCATGATGCGCTGTTGTTGTGAAGCTTCATCCTCGTCATTTGACAGGTTCGCAAGCTGGGCGATCATGAAGCGCAGCTGGCTGCATGCGCCGAGAAAGGCGTACACGTTGCGGTTCTCGACGTCGTCTAGCAGCTCGGCTTGAGGGTAAGCATCTGCCCACATGCTGCGGTACAGCGGGTTCGAGAAGCGATGCAGCCTCTCGAAGCTGTCGAGCGGCTGGAAGGGACTGTTGGGGATCCCGGTTCGAGTGATACCGTTGCTGGCATCCAGGGCGCCCATGATCTTGTGCAGAGCACAGTTCAGCTGCCCGCCTAGTCCGTACGATGCTGCAGCTGCATCATGCAGGGCGATCCAGACCAGCATGCGCGCCGAGTACAGCGACAGCCGCGATCCGTTCTCGTCTTGGCCCCGCCGGGTCAGGGCTAAGCTTTTCCTGCTGGTCTCGGGCGAGGGGGCCGGTAGTTGGAGAAGCAGGTCTTTAAATCGATGTTGGAGTATCAAGCTTGCGCCGGTGAGATGGTTGGAAAGACCCTGGCACTTTCCATCACCGTACTTTTGCTCGTAGAGGAGCATGAGATACAACGCGGTGCAGACCGAATCGAGATCCAGCGGATCATTGCCGTCGCTGCCAATGGTGTCAGCCATCATCCTCAACGCCGACGAGTAATGCTGCAGAGGCGTTCTCGGGCCCCGGGCTTCCTCGGCATCCTTGTTACGGCGGAACTCCAGCTCTCTTCCGCCCAGGGCGAGGACCACGTGCATCACCATGGGGTCCGTCTGCGCAATGTCGAACATGATGGAGTACAGAGAGAAGTCGGGGTTCTTGGTGTGATTGAGCTTAGCGAAGCTCGTGCGAAAGTACCGGATCGCCTCGTGGTCAGCCGACGACAGATCCAACGCGCATGCGCCCGTAGCCGGAGCCGACGGGTTGAAGAGCGAGAGCGTCTTGCTCTGGTCCAGGTTCGCGACGGCCTGCGCCCAGCTCGGCAAGCCAGGCGACCTCACCTCCCCAGACGCAGCCGACGAGACGGACGATAGCAGCTGATCCTTGCTTTTCTTGCCTCGCTTGGTGAGCTTCATGCGGGGTGCATAATCGCAGAGGAGCCGCAGGCGGGTGCAGCGGTGGCAGTTCGGTCTCTGCTCGTCACACTTGACCTTCTTTGTGCGGCATGTCCAGCAGCCGTTCCTCGACCGCGGTCCACTCCGGCCCTCGCCCGTGCGCATTGCCGGAGCCGACGCCGTGCCCGGGTGGGTGGTGGGATCGGCTTCTTCTGCGTGCTCATCGGCTGCGGCAGCATGGTGGTCATCAGGCGTGGAAGCCGCGGCAGCATCGTCGGCTGCAGTCGCCGGACTACTGCTGTCACCACCAGGAGAGCTCCCCTCGTGCTCCGTGGGCGAAGAGCTCATTGGCGGTCGCCTAAAGACTGAGCAGTGGTCGGCTGTGTCGGCGGTATTGTCGCGGGATTCTGAGGCGTCAGAGTGGAGGCACAGAGCTGGGGGCCCTTTGACCGGTGTTCGGGTTTAGGCGGTTCTCAAAGCGACTCGTTGTGACTTGTGTGAGAAGGCGCGCATATGGATGGACATGCGCTTTGATGTGGGTTCGTTTGGATGGATATACAACGGGCTCTTCCTGCGAATATCTGTTGTGTAACAGTTTGCTCTCGAAATAGCCGACGAGACAAGAGCGTTGTGTTTTGTGCTCGAAGAAGGTCAAAGAGATAAAGTCGACTGACTGATCAGATGAACCAAGTGGAGGTGGCTGGCTGTCGTCGCCTGCGCGCCGCCGTTTAGGCGATGGGCGGATTGTTTATCAGGTTGAAAATGCTGCCAAAACTGCCGACCGTCGGCTATCTTTTTGCAGACTCGTCTTGGTGGTCGGCAAGCTGAGAGCTCCGATTGCCGATGGGCTCTTGCACCTGTTCTCCAGTTGGAGCATCCCTGTCTCTTTGCTCATCGATAGCGCTGCTCCGCACCCGGCAGCTTATGATGCTGTAATTTGTAAAGATACCGTGATTATTCTGGAACGTGGCGAGAGTCGTATATTGAGATCCATCAGCTCCCTATCTGTCAAAAAGAGAGCTTGCCCAATTTTGAGTTCCTTTCAGCTCGAAGTGTGTCTTCTGCGATCCTAAACTCTGCGTTCTTGACACTGCAACCACATCATCCATATCCGTCCAGCATGTCAATCATTGAGATCCCTGCCGCTGCTCCTGCAAGCGAGCATACCACCAACCAGGCGTTAGAAACAACGCAGGGATTCGATCTCGAAAAGGCGCGCGCCATCATCAACTCTCATCTCGACGACCTGAACTCGTCCCTACACAATGATATCAACAAAACGCTTCACGCAAACCCAGAAACCGCGTACAAGGAATTTTTCGCCCACGAAACGATCACCAACTACCTTGAGAAGCAGGGGTTCACGGTGAAGAGGCACACGTATGGTCTGGAAACCAGTTTCGAAGCTGAGATTGGCACCGGTGGCCGCCAAGTCGTGGTCTGCGCCGAGTACGACGCCCTCCCCGACATTGGGCACGCGTGTGGCCACAACCTCATCGCGACTTCATCAATAGCAGCTTTTCTGGGAGCGGCGCAGGCGTTGTCAGAGTTGAAGATCCCCGGTCGCTTGCGAATTCTCGGAACTCCAGCAGAAGAGGGCGGCGGTGGCAAGGCCAAGCTCATCGATGCCGGCGCTTTCAATCCCCCTGAAGATGTGGCTGCGGCTATTATGGCTCATCCCACAGCTGCACACCAAGGCGGTAGCGGTGACGGGTCGTCGGGTCTCGCAGGCTTCAAGCTGATTGCAAGCCACAAGTTCAGAGTCGAGTTCCGCGGAAAGCCGGCGCATGCGGCTGGTGAGCCGTGGAAGGGCTTGAATGCACTGGATGCGGCCGTTGCGGCGTACAGCAACGTCGCTCTGTTGAGACAGCAAATCCAGTCTGATGAGAGAATCCACGGAGTCATCGAAGTTGGAGGCACCGTTCCCAATGTCATTACGGATTACACCAGGATGAACTGGAATGTGCGCAGCCCCACGATTGCTCGCGCCGATGCTTTGTTGAAGAGGACGAAGGCCTGTCTTGAGGCTGGTGCTGCGGCCACAGGTTGTGAAATCAACTACATTGTGTGAGTTACCTCTAGATCTCCCGCTGCTCTTGCTGACAGAATCACCAGCGCGCCGACGTATGCCAACCTTCGCGCCAACGACACGTTATGCAAGACATACGTCGAAGACATGGCGGCTATCGGGGAGACCATCAAGCTTCACCAGGCTGAGCCTTTCAACGCCTCTACAGACATGGGCAATGTATCTCACCTCGTTCCCAGTTTCCATGGTGCCTTTGTCATCCCGACATCACCGGATGTTGCAGGCCACAACCCGAAGTTTGCAGCTGCGGCGGCGACGGACGAGGCTCATGCTGCGGCTATCAAATGTGCCAAGGGTATGGCTATGCTTGCCATCCGTGTTCTCACGGACGATGCTATCGCACAGGGTGCCAAGGCGGATTTTGACGTACCGGATGAGAAATAAATAGCAGGTAGATTTAATGAACATATATCTCTAGAACAGTCATGTATCACGGTCACTGCTTGACCGACTAGGGCTTTTGCACAGACACACAAGATTTCATAGTGCTTTCACGTCAACCTGTGCTCCTTTCTTCTGCTCTTCCTCCAACTCCTTCTTAACTTCCTCAATATCCACTCGCGCTACCTTTGCGTCGTCTCCATCGAAGACTCTAGCAACTTCTTCAAGTGTGAGGTTCTTCGTTTCCGGGTAAAAGAAGTAGACGAACAGCAGGTAGCAGAAGTCTAGTATCTGAAATATGTTAGAACTCTCTGAAAGGTATGAGGCCATGCCCTTTACTTACGGTATAAAACATGGCAAGAACCCATGCATGGCCTGCCGCTGTGAAATTGTCCCATGCAATCGGGTTGGTGTAGCTGTCAGTACTCGTCAATATCTCACATTGAAGTAAATGCTGGCATTGCTGCAACTCTTGACTCACCTTCCCAGAACAATTAATCCCTTGACAAAAATGGTTGAGATGACTCCCGCCTTAGCTCTCAAGCTATACGGCATGATTTCCAGAGCGTAAGCGGCCATGATGCCAGTCCACGCGATTTGATACGATAGACTGAAGAGCCAAATGAAGGCAATCTGTGGATAACCAAATCTCGCCAAGTCGTGGGTTCGTTCGTATTGGGAACTGACAATCGTCCAGCCCATGTACATGAAAACCATGCCCGTGGTGGCGGTAAGGAATAGCGGCCGACGACCGAAGCGGTCGATAGTGAGGGAGAAACCGACTGATACAACGAGTGACATCAAGGTTTGGCCACCGCTAAGCTATCAAAGCCGAAGCGTCAGTAAATGGATTCTTTGAGAACGATTGAGACTTACGAGGACTTTGTTTGTCTGGTCTTTGATACCAGCGCCTTCATAAATCTTATTGGCGTAATTAGAAAACAGATTAGTACCGCTGTATTGAGACACCATTGCTAACGAAATCAAGATGACCACTCGGTATCTATTTCCAGCATATCTCGCAAAATCCAAGTAGCTGCTCGACCTCCCATGTTGGAATTCGAGAGCCAGTGTTTGCTTCATCTCACGGAACTCAAAAGCGACAGTCTCGTTTGTTCTGTCTCCGTTCCCATGGTAATTGGCAAGCATCTGTTCCGCCTCCTCGTAACGTTCCTTGGCAATAAGCCAACGGGGGGACTCCGGTATCCACCATATGAGGGACAGCACAAGAAGTCCAGGAAACGCTTGAAGGATGGTCAAGGACCGCCACGACCACTCAGTGGAAATCTTGATTGTGCCAAGTGCAAGCCAGGCGCAGAATGTCGACCCAACGCCGTACATGCAGTTAACAATGGCAGAAATCTTGGCGCGGTGTTGGGGATGAGCAATCTCGGCGATGAGAAGGCCGGCTCCGTTGAACGAACTGCCGAAACCGAGAATGAAGCGACCGGCCATGTACACTGTCACGTTGATTGGATGGTAAGCCTTTGCTGCCAATAATTTTAGGGGTTCTTGAACTGTAGCATACTTCCTTGGCTGCTCGAGAAAGCGCCGATGAATGCTCCAATGGTTTCAATGACACAGCCGATGATGATGGGTACCTTGCGGCCATAATTGTCCGCAAAGAATGGCCTAGTCATTGGAGTCGATCATCAGTCCCGCTCAATTATTCTGATGATACCCGTTCTTCAGCTTGACTCACACCATCCAGAAGCTGCACAGAGACCCAATGTCGAGAATCGCAACGATGATCCCAAGTCGTCCTCCAGTCGGATGTTCAAATGAATTCTGCCATTGATCCATAACTTGGGAAGTGTTCATAAGCTTCCTGCAATTGCGTTTGATCAGCTTAAACTTCGTTCCGTCGCGAAACATAGTCAGTTGTTAGGACTCACGCGTCAAAACCGGTGGACGCAGACATGGCCATCAAGATGGCACACCAGAAGTACAACTTTCTTAACCCTGGGTCCTTCCACCAGGTGACCTCTGCAAATTGGGGAGCTTCGGCTTGGGCTGATTGAGCCTGGACCCGTTTAGCCCCACGGCCTAGAGCATTTCGAATCATGATGCAGGAATTCGCCCTTGCTAGTGAGAGAAAGTCAAGGGCAACACGAGAAAAAAAAGAGTGAATTCAGAATGAATGTCGAACGGCACACTTGCTCCAGCCAGTAGAACGCGACACACTATCGTCTGTCAAATCTGTAGGACGGCCTAGAGATTTAAGTGTTCACAAGCCAGCCCCGTAACGAGGAATCGTTTGAAGTCGGGCGCACAGATTACCGTAAACCTTAAGTACGGAGTAGAGCAAACTTTGGTGGGATGAGACGTCGTATATCCGCCAAGACATTGGAGATCAAATGTTCATTGAGCCGATTGAAACCCGTACACGAGTAGAGGAGGAGGGATTACCCTGCGAGATATCGGAAGTTTGGGTGGTGGAAATCAAACGGAACATCAAGATAGCGTGTAGGACCGGCAGTTGACGCAAGTGAATCAGATGTCGTCTCATTGCTGTCCTGAGGCTAGGAACCTATGAACGGCTCATCCCAGCTTCATCCCACAACGGGCCGGCTCTTTCCCATACCCCGCTAACCGCCCGTACCCCACGCCCTTGCTGGACCCAGTATCTTAACGTGACTTCAATGTTTGTAATCTGCATGTCATCGGAGTGATGATTGCGCTAGTAATTGATTAACGACACTGAAGCACCAAATTGCTGTGCCTGTCTATGGCAAATGTCCGTCATATCCCGCGGCGATGAGTCTCGAGTTGGCCTCCCAGACCTCCTCCGGAATTTCCTGCTCAATTTGGAACCCCTTTGCTGGATATTCCCGAATCCTTACAAGATCTCCCACCATAATGTTCACAACCAGCTCCTCGGGGTTTTCAGCGTCGAAGTAGTCCTCAAATCCGAACTCAGGGCTGGTGACCGTAAATTCCGTCTGCGCATCAGGCCACTGCTTCCGAAATGTCGCATAAGTGCGTCTCTCCATGTAAGGCTTCTGTACCAAAACGAAGCTATCGGCCTTCAACCCCTTCTCCTTCAACAATGCATACGTGAAGCGCACGTTCTCGCCGGTGTTCGTCGACCGGGCCTCCACAATGATCTTGTCGTGGGGGACGCCCATGCCCTGCGCGATTTCCGCAAAGACTTCGGCTTCGGGCTTTGAGAAACGGCTCTCTGTAAGCTTCCCTGCACCGCCCGAGTAGATAAGGTACTCGCCGTAACCGTCGAGGAAGAGCTGGGCAGCGCGGGAAGCTACGCGTGTATCGAGGCTGCAGAGGCAGAATACGGCGGAGGCGGGGCGGAGGGGCATGCCCATGCGATGGTAGTTGTAGATGGTCTTCGCATCCTGGTCGGTTTCGAGGTTTTGAGCAGACATTTTGCAGTCTCAAAAGCTAAGCTTTCTCAAGACGTAAACGACTATCACGATCAAAGGATTTGAGTTCTTGCGATGTTGTCGAAGAGATTGATGACTGCGATATGCAGGGGGAAACCATTTTAGGGGGTTTAGTCAGCAGAGGCGGCGCTAATGCGCCATTGACTGCCAAGGACTGCAAGTCTCTGATCAGAGAAATCTGATTAGCTGGGGCAGGCGTATACTGGGTTTGGCGTCTCTTGATGTATGTACTTATCTGAGAAGAAAGCATGATATGGAACTGACGGCTTAGAAACAGCTTAGAAAGCAACTTGCCTTCTACAAGGCAGCTAGCCATCAGAGGCTATGGGGAGTTCAACCGTGATATGACAATAGTCTCGGCACATGATATTAGTGGAGTGTTGTGACGCAAAGGTTGAGGTCAAAGCTTGAGGCTGAAAATATGTTTTTTTTATCAGCCTCATCAGAACAATGCTGTTATGTAGGAATGCCTTTATCCTATCAGTGAAACATCTGGCAGGGCTGAGAGGTCGCTTGACACCGGCCTGCGCAGCTTCCTGGAAATCTTTGTGAGATCTTGGTTGCCCCAAAGCTTTGGCCATGACCTCAAACTTGGAGGCCAAAGAAAATTTCTTTGGAAACCCGGTGAAGATTCCTCGTCACCAAGAAAACATAGGTATCACAGAGAGTACTGAAGATGACATATTTATGGCATGAAAGAAACATTGGGGGCCATGAGAAGACCCTGAAAACCCCAAAAGTCCTAAAGCATATAATACTCAGAGAAGGCCCAAGTCTAGAGTTTTCTGCATCACAAGCGTCGCCTTACCCAGAAGTTGTTTTCGCATCGCTCGATATTGTCCAGTCAGAGTCCCCAAAAATGGCTTACTCGAGTCTCGCAATCGCCTGCATGGATGAATACACCACACGAAAACTCGATACATCAATCAAGGATTTACAAGATCATCTTTATGATATTGCTGATTTCCGAGCGGGTGAAGACGAGCCTTCGACGGCCGAATGGCTCTCAGATCGCCAGGCTCATCCAGGCATATTTGCTCAAGCACGCTCTACAGTTTCCGAACGACACGTCGAGTCGCTTCAAGAGCAGGCAGGAATCGAAGATCTTTGCATCAACGAGGTCATTGAGTCACGGTACCGCGAGGTTCTTGTGGAATTTTACAACATCCTGAGCCAAAAGCGAGAAAGTGAGTATGGGGAATTATTCAGGATCAAAGAGCTCCAGTCCGACAAGCGCACGAACGATTCTGCCGCTAAAAGAGCAAGGAAGAGAAGGTTTTGGGACCGCCAGAGAGCGTCGGTCATACTTGCACAATAGGCACGGGGGATCACTCTCTTACTACATACTCTGCCTGAAGCAATGGATGGGTTGTAAGTCTCGTTTAAACGTTGTGAAATGAAAATCATGAAACATAGCCAGACCGCCAAAATTTCCGGTGCATGCGCACCATGTACTCCATACCTAGTACTCGATGGCTCCTGTCAAAGAAAATAGTAGTATGGAGAAGTGATAATAGGGTTAATAGCAGCGACGGTAAAGGTAGCCATGATAAGGACGACATTAGCAGCGACGACGATAGTAAAAGAGGATATATAGCCACAGGAAAAGTTATCGCTCTACCACTGGGGGAAAAAAACGCGTTCTCTTTAGGGTGCCCGATCGGTTTTGCATGCCAAGTGTGTAAGGGCAAGACGTCACACTGCGGAAATATCGAGAGCCCGAGGCGAGTTCACTATGTTGGAAAGCCTGATGTTGGCTGTTTCGCCAAGTCCTTCAGCTGCGTTGGCAAGTCCTGTTTCAGCAGGCTGAAGAGACGATCATTGAACCAACAAACAACCGTCACACCTGACGTTCAATCGTGCAGAAATACTTGCCTTAGTGCTGACTAGAATCGTTATGTTTAGGGATATTTGGAATCGGATTTGAGAAGGCTTCCAATGAGAACAAAAAGGCCCCAATTCTTATCTACTTTGCAATACTACAGATGGGGCTGAGCTTGACGTCAACGTTCCACAGCCTGAAGTTATTTTAAGGCTCCAGAAGGAGGCGGGCGCGAAGTAAGAAATAAGGCAATAAATAATGATGACGACAGTTGGTTTTGCTGCCACCATTTCTTACTGTTTCTTCCACGGAGCGTCTCTCACAACCGCACGACGCACACATCCCAACCAGTACCTGCACCAAATCCAGAGCGATGACTACTACACAGGGCTACAGCACTCTCGAGTGGAATCCTCGACAACCACCCGAAGCGATGTCTGGAATTGAAGTAATTCCTAACTACGGAGTCAATAGATGGGACGAAGAGGGTCGCTATCTTCAACCAGACACGAATAAATATCACAAGCCTCCAGGGCAGAGTTATGAATTATCAGATGGGCAACCATCGAGCTCGGACTCCGATGCTATGAGCAAAGGACAAGGACGGAAGTTTTGTGGTTTTTCCCGACGGATCTCCATCGCAATACTCGTCGTCTGTCTGCTAGTGGTCATTGGTGCCATCGCTGGTGGTGTTGCTGGGGGTTTGCAAAAAGGGGGAAGCCCCTCCAAGAGTGCACAAGTTGTAGGAAGCATTCTTGACACGACAAGGCTCGCAGCTGCGAACAGAACCATCAACGGGTCAATGCAGCACACTGTCCTTTTTCAGGACGGTAACGGCGCCCTGATGACACGCTATCGAATGACACCTTTATCAGAGTGGAAATCCGTCAACTTGACACTCAAATTCGCGTCTTCGAAGGAAGATGAAAGAGTCGAGCTTCCACCTGGTGCCCCATTGGCGGCTCTTTCGTGCGCGGATTGGGGATGTGGCGACACTATGGTCGTCTACCTCGGGACTGACAGAATTCTTCATGGTATCAGAGATGATAGTGAGAGAGGGAGTGTCGAATGGTACCCAAGAACCTCTGTTGCGACGGCAAATCTTTCGGCATCTCTCAATTCGCAACTAGCAGCTTCAATAAGCAAATCATTCTATGACGATGAGGAAGGCTTCCAGCGGCTCGGAGTCCACCGTCTTCTAGCGTACCAAGATTCAGACGGCCACGTTTTTGTCTCCAATGACAGCAATAAGTGGGTTCCAAAGTCGGTGGACGACCATTTGCCAAACCTCACGACCGGAACAAGTCTTGCCATCATTTCTCAACTACGCGGTGTGGAGCTAGACAAAGTCAGTCTGGTGTCTAAAGTGACGGGCAGGACCGACGCTGCCACGACGGAGTATGCCATGCTGGAAGCAACATATCCATTAGCCGAAACAAATGATACTTGGACTCGCGGTATGCTACAACATCCTCTTCCTCTACCGAAGTACGCTTCTCTTGGGATTCTAACGACGTAAATTAGGCTCCGAAATCCTTGACGGGATCGTGCTTCCCGAGCTCTCGGCAGCTGAGTCAAAACAACAATTTGCCGTCACGATGCGCAACAATTGGAGGGAAAGTGTTTACCTCATCCTTTCATCCAACGGCACAATATCTGGTCGCATAGTTGGGCCGCGCAATGAAACCATACCAAATATCCAGGTTAGAGAATCTGGCGAGCTAAAGATGGCGAACTTCTCCGCTATCGCGACGACGATGGACGGGTTTCTTTACGGCTTCATCAACGATACAATAAGTGAGTATTCCTTCGATGCGTCGGATTCTTCAATCTTGAATTTCGAAGGGATTGTCTACGATAAGTCCGTCTCGGGAACATGACCTACACCAAATCTGTAGACGCTTGTTAGTGCAAACAACGATCATGACGTTTCAGCAGGGGTTGTATTCCGGGTCTCTTTTCTTCTCTCGGCTACATAAACATGTGTTTGGGCTTGTGTTTCCATGAGTTTAACTGCTGTAAACCACATGTATCCATATTGTTCTTGTGCCCCGCTTGATATCTCTGTTCATCTGAATCACTACTGCGATGCCACCCAGGCAGCAACAAGTTGCGGCAGGTCCCGCACGAACTCTGTTCGCTTCGGAATCCATCCCAGCTCAGCTCTCGCGCGACCTGAAGTTAAGTTACAAACCAACGCCAGAGCCTCAAAGAAGGGATTTCCACCGCATCCAACGTAGTAGAGTGCTCCTTTGGCGCCGATCAGCTGCTTCACCTCCTCCATCATCGTCGAAATCGGAATCGTCTCGCTGACAAAGTCGAAAACAGGCCAAGATCCGAAGGTGGGAAGACGGTCCACAACTAGCACGAAACCATCTGCCAGGTCGTCCACGCAAACGACTCCAGTGCGAGTCTCTTGGTAGGCAGGAATTTCAATGGTGTTTTCGTCGCCACTCTTTGCTGCATCCAGCACCTTGCCCCACCAGGCTGTCATCACCCAAGAGCCTCGTCCGTAGACAGCGCCGGGCCGTACAATAGCAACATCTAAGATGTCCCGAGACTTCAGCACGACCTGCTCGTGAGCCGGTCGCCAAGCGACGGCTGTAGCGGGCTTGTCTGCAGCAAGGAATGTGCCTGGGACCGAGTTGTCGCTGATGCGCTGATCGCGAGGAGAGCCATGGACCCATGATCCGGAACAGTAGACAAATCCAAGTTTGGGCCCAATGGATTTCTCCGCGACAAGCCTGGAAGCCCTATCTTGAGCAGCTCCAGTGACAGCTTCAAGGATCGTGGTCGCGTCACTGTAGGCTTGGGAAAGATCGATAACCACGTCGATACGGTTTTCCGCAATAGTAGCCTTGACGAAGTCGACGTCAGACAACTCTCCAATAAGAGGTTTCACTTCGTTTGATGCAAGAAGTTTGGTTTTCGTGTCGCTTCGAGAAGTAGCAAAGACAGTGTAGTTTCCGGAACGAATGAGAGCCTGAGCGACGGCCAGGCCAATGTAGCCAGCTCCACCAAGAATGAGAACGCGAGCCATTTCGGAAGGTTGACAGCTTTTGATGATATAACGTGATAGTATGATTCGAAGGCAATTCAAAAAATATTGAATGTGCGGTGGGAAGATGATGAAGCTGAAGCTTTTTACTGGAATCAAAATGCAGCGTGTCTTGACCATTTTTATGTTACAACTGTGAGACAGCGACATCTCATAGTCATTGAAATGGTGCTCATTTTTACGATTGTTATCCAGGATGCCTTGCTATTTCCACGGACGAACGATGGCCGCGGGCCTTGTGTTGGGCTAGGTGGCTTGACTAGCGCTGAGCCATCTCTCAGGCTCTGGGTCACGGTCTTTGTGAGTGCGCTTTGCAACTACTCCAGTCTTTTTGGACTTCTTCAAGCTTAATAATCCAAACTTAGCAGCCATTCTTCTTATCAGTGCGTGCGAACATGTTGTTAGGCATAGCATGATGATCCGCATTCCCGTGATGAGTGACTAAGCCTGGCGCAGTTCGGCTTTACAGAATAGTTGACAGATAATCCCGAAATAATAGCTAGCATACGCCTTACCTTCCCGGTTTAACTTTAAACTTTGACTGGGTATTTCCGATCGCTCTCCCTGTCTGGAGGATGTATGACCAAATCTCAATGGGCGCCAGCACGTATTAAGTGAGTGACTGGGAACACGAATCAACCACAGAGCACATTGGACATTTCCCAAAGTCATGCAAACTCCCCTTACAAAACACTTTCATGAGATTACATTGACTTCATTAACAGCAGCTACTTGCTGTTTCTAATTACCAATTACTTGATTTCAATAGTCGTCTTCAGAGACAAGTTTCTGCTGGAGTTGCCCAGCCACAGGGTGTAGGTGCCCCTGCGCAATTGCCACTGCTGAGCTACAACGTCCCAGACACTGAGGTCGCGTCTTGTGAGCTCAAAAGACACACGAGAAGTCTGTCCAGGGGACAAGAAAATGCGGGTGAATCCGCGAAGTTGGTGGACAGGGGTATCTTCACCGCCACCAGGAATCTCAACGTAGAGCTGGGGAATCTCAGCGCCCTCAACATCACCAGTGTTGGTAACGGCGGCCTTGGCGACAGCGATTGTCTCCCAAAGAGATGGGTGTCCTCCCTGAACAATGGCGATCTCGGGGTCGGGATACTCGGCCGTATCGGCAGCGGCAGTAAGACCAGCAGTCAGATCAGCGAGTTCGAAGGTGGTGTATGAGAGGCCGTAGCCGAACTCGTATCTGGGGGTGATGTTCTGGGCATCGAAGTAGCGGTAGTCGATGTAGAGTCCCTCGGTAAAGTTGCTCTCCGGGAAGTAGTCATCCGAAGCGCTCGAGTTGAGGTGGTCACCGTAGTCGGACTCAAGCTTGGCAACGGTGTAAGGAAGCTTTCCAGAAGGGTTCACGTCACCCCAGAGGACATCCACCAGACTGTAACCACTCTCCTGGCCAGGAAGCCCGGCGAAGACGACAGCAGTGACGTTCTCATGCTCGATCCACTCGTCGACAGTACGAATGCCTGCAGAGTGAACGATTACGACGGTGTTGGAGCAGTTGGCAGCCACGTTCTTGACAAGGTTGTCGCTGAACTCATCGGTCAAGCTCAGACGGTCAAAGCTTTCCGAGGCGTAAGCGTTGATGAAGACGAGGCAAGCCTCAGAGTTGACATAAGGAGGAGCTGGGTTCTCGGAGTAAAAGTCCCAGCGCAGGATGCCCTTGTTCTTGGCAATACGCTCCTGGATGGCCTGGAACGGAGAAACAACGTACGGGGGCGTGCTGCCACCAGAGCCACCTCCAGTGATGAGGGTACCGTTGAATGTTTCCCAGCCAAAGTTGACCTCATAGCCGCCGCCGTAGCGAGAAGGGTTCTCCCAAGGGATAGCCTTGACTGTCGCATCGTAACCGTAGATAGAAAGGAACTTGGGGTTCTTGAATGGCAGGGTCTTGTTGACGTTCTTCACGAGAACAGTGCCGGCGGCGCCGATCTGGCGGATCAAGTTGGAGTGATCGGCCTGAATGTCGACGGGATATGCCTTTTGCAAGTTTGAGTGGATGGCAGGTTCGGGGAAAGCATGCTCCTGGCGCAGGTAGTGGTAACTGGCCAGAATTCTCGTGACCATGTCCGAGAGGCGGTCCTCGGTGACGGAACCATTGTTGACTGCCTCGACCAACTTGTCGCCCCAGTACCCAGCATCGGGCATGACCAGATCCAACCCGGCGTTTGCGGAGGCCACTCCAGTCATTTGACCCTCCCAGTCACTAACAACGTAACCCTCAAAGCCCAGCTCAGTCTTGAGAACACCGTTCAAGAGGTGTGAGTTCTGGCAGCCATAGGAGTGGTTGGCGCGTTGGTAAGAGCACATAACAGATGCCGCACCCTCCTTGAGAGAATCCATGAAGGGGAAAACGTAAAGCTCGTGTAGTGTACGGTCGTCAACGTTGGAGCTGATGGCTTCGCCGAGGTCAGAGATACGACGACGGTACTCCTGTTCGTTCAGCAGCCAGTGTTTGGCTGTAGCGATAACGCCTGCATCTTGAATTCCGCGGGTGATTGCGCCCATACCGGCGCCAGCAAGGTAAGGATCATTCGAAAGTCCCTCCCAGTTACGGCCTCCGCGAGCTACTCGGCCGAGGGGGCCTGCGCAAGGGGCAAGAGCAACGTTGATTCCCTTGCCATAGTACTCGTCACCAAGTGCCTTGCCGTACTTGTACAGCAGCGCCTTGTCAAAGGTAGACGCGACATGGATACCGGCCGGGAAAGCGGAAACGAACTCTTGACCTCGGATTCCGTCAGGAGCATCCGCAAAGCAGAGAGATGGGATGCCAAGGCGTTCGATCGCGCCCGAGTTACCGACACAAGTGCCGGTCCATCCTCGGGTGATGTTCGCCTTCTCTTCGACGGTCAAGTCTGCCACCAGAGCTCTAGCTTGGCGATATGCAGCCGCCCAGCTTGGGTTGGTGGTGCCGTTACCAGCGGCTGAGAAATGTTAGAAACTTACCACGACCTGTTTTGAAGACGACACTTACGAGAGGGGTAAACCGGAGGACTACGCCCGTAGTAAGGGACTTCCGACGGAGCAGACCCGTTGGTTTGCGCCGCAGCCAAGGCGCCGTTGAGAGCGGCCGCAAGGAGAACGCCTGTCTTCATCTTGGATCTCTGGCTGGTGTTGACTGAACTGTGAGTTCGGGGAGCCTCTGAGATCGCTATGAGATGCCGGTGAGGGCCAACAAGGAATAAACTCGCCCAATGCTATGGGATGACCGGCTCTTAAGAGTCCTCCCGCGATGGCACCCGGTGATTGAAACCGGGCTTCCGTTGTTTTCTTTCGGTGACTGTACCCGATCAACGTCATTCCCGGTGAAGCAGGGCCCGAAATGGACCTCATTCAATCGGTCCTATTCACAAAAAGTCATGGAGACAACATGCAGACTGTGGATTCATGACTCGACATTAACCGGCTCTGACTGGCGAGATCGGAGAATAGTCCGATGACTATCGTAATGTTAACTCGGATGGCTGGGGTGACAATTCAACAAAGCAATTGGCCAATTGACAAACTAGACGACTGCCGGCGGGTCCTCTCCGACCTACCCCGCGCCCTCCGCATCGGCGACTCTCCGCCACGACGTCAACCGCGGTCGAAGCAAGGTTGGGGGTGGTTTTCTTGGTGGATATGTGGACTCATTTCGCCCGGGGAATTCCCGGAGTTTGAGTCTGCTGACAGCGAGAGCATACGACTCTCCAAATGCCAAATGGCGCAACTGTTGGTCTTGATGTCGAAGGTTCCACCTGGCCCCCGCTTCATTGATTTCGACTGACAGGCATTCGATAAGCTTGTCCCCAGGAGTTCACCGTTTTTTCCA